AAATGCTAAGGCCTAAATGTCAACCTGAAGCCCGACCGGCCAACAGTATTGTAAAAGGTCATCTGGAGGAAAATGGTTAAGTCCTAAAAATTGGTTTGAAGCCCGACCGGCTATCAATGTTATGAAGGAGCCCAGGTGCAAAGAAAATCGAGAAAACTGCCAAGGTGTCAACCTGAAGCCCGACCGGCTATCAAGTTGTAAGAGATTATCTAAAGCAAGAATGTGCCAAGTCCTAAAATTCGGTATGAAGCCCGAACGGCTGAGTACCAGGGGGTAGGGGTTTTTTCCTTTAGTAAATTATCAGAACTTTCTAATGCCCGAACGACGATCAACGGCGTTAGGATTATTTGAGCAAGAAATGAGTTAGGAAATTGGTTAAGTCCTACGAAACAGGCCGAATCCCGAATGGCGAGTAAATCATGCATTAAAGACAGAAAAGATAGTACACAAAATTTCATGCAAAAAAGAGATATATATTCATCGGCTCTACTGACCGGGAAATACAGTTAAGGTTTGTTGTAAAGAAAGAACAAAAAGGGGTTACAGTTACTAAGATACTACTCTATTGCCCTGCCCCATTGTCTTCTTCATCACCCTCCTCATCCGAATCAGTAAGGGGATCAGGCTCCTTTCCTGCCTCCTGATCAGCAGCCCGTTGTAAGTCTCTTTGATATTTCTCATATTGAGCTTCGACTATGGGCGCCTGAGGGAGATCAGTAAGCTCGACCGGCCTCCCTAGCAATTCTTGGAATTTGGCGATAAAGGGAGCCATGATGTGCTGACAGCCCATGACGTACAGAGATCGAGCCAGGGAATCATTAAATTTTTTCCCCCTGGGGTCCTGATCGAGCAATTTGACCCCCTCGCTCCGACGGGCGTCACCCGTGGAAAAATGGTCAAGATAATCACCAAAGGTGACTGGGAGTTGCTGCTGTGCGAAATCTTTCTTCAAAATAGCAAACTCATCAGACCCTTTAAATGACTCCCGAACGGCGGACAGGTCAACCTGTATTTCAGCAGGGCCGTCCGGGATGCGAGGGGCATGCTCTTCGAATTTAACCAAGGCAGCTTCTGCAGCATGGACCTTGGACTGAGAAACTCCGAGTTGAACCCGAAGCTCGCCAAGCTCCGATTCAAGACGTTTCTTCTCCTCAGTATGGGCCTTCCGCTCGGCCTCCAGGGCAGCAAAAGCAGCTGCTGCATTCTGCTCCGCAGAACTCTGAGCAACGATCAGCTCCCGCTCCTTGGCCAACCGAGCTTCCTTCAGCTGCAGGCTATAAAGCCCAACCTGCGGAATGACATTCAGGGAATGAAATGGGGAAGAGAAATTGTAGATTAAGAAAGATTTAAACTATGAAATGGCAAGATACCTTCAGAGCTGCCAAGGCAAGGCATTCCTCGGACTGCTCGATCGATAACTTAGGGACGGTGAAATTGTTGAAGAAGGCGGAGGTAGACCAGATCTGACTTGCCGAACAGCCACCTCTTTCCACAACATCATGAACCGGATCCGCCAGGGAAATCCGGTCAACCTGGCCAGATAACTGAACGGTGGGTGTTTCACCCGTACCCTGGCCGGCTTCTGGAGCAGCTTGAAAATGCTCGGAAAATTGCTGCAGTTGATCAGAGCCAAACCGATCATCGACCAGCATGGCATCGAATTGATCCTGATGGACCTGCTGTATCGGCTGTGGCTCTGGAAGCGGTTGAGAAGACCCAGCATCCTGGGCAGGAACAGTAGAGGGAGTAGGTTGGGGGTTCTTCCTGGCCTTTTTTCGCTTACCGACCCCACCAGCTGCCATAACTCTGCTGTTGTCCATAGGTAGATCTGGGTTTGGTGCTGAAAAAAGACAAAAGGACAATGTTAGTATCGAGCGACCTTAGCGTGTGAGAAACTAAAAAAAAAAAAGAACAAAAGAACGTTTCTCGCACGGGAAGGACCGCCCGGACCATGGCACTTGGTTTCTCAAAACAAGTAAACCCAAAAGAACGGGCAGTACCTATCCCGGCTGTAATAAGTCGTTCAGGAGTCAGATAACTCATGATGTCCATGCATTTATCCTTCTCCACGGCAAGTACGTCCTTGTAAATTTCTTCAGTAAGGACAGGATCAGGAGTCTTGCGAGGGAAGGCATTCCATTTGCGGGGAATTAGGCCGTCCGGGACAGACACGAAGAAAAAACGGTCTTTCCACCCTTTAATTGAAGTTGGATTTCCTTTAAACAGGATGTGTCCCGTTCGGGCACTGGTGGCCAGATAACCGTGGGTTTGTTGGGGGGCTACTTTGAAGAATTGATGGAAGAGATCTAGGGTTGGTTGGGCACCGGCATCTTTGCAACGACAAATGAACCCCGCCATTGCCCGATAGGAGTTCGGCATAATCTGGGCCGGTACAACTTCGTAGAAATTGAAGAAAGAAATGAAAAAGGGGTGTAGCGGAAATCTAAGGCCGGCCCTAATCGAGTCAAAGTGGACTATGGTCATTCCGGGCCTATGACGCATTGGGTGAAGCCCGACTTGCAAACGGAAATCCACTGGATCAGGGATAAGGGCCGGAATTTCGGCCCTATTGTGAGAAGTCAATTTTTGCCTCCTCTCCCTAATCAATTTTAGGTCAAGAGTATGGCGAGGAACATCGTTGGGACGTCCGGCCGCCATGGAGGCTATTTCGTCCTCGGATTTGGTGTCATCAGAATCCTCACTGGAGGAAGAAGAAGTGCTAGGGAGGTCCTCCGCCTCAGCCCTGGTATTCGTCGCCGTCACAGTAGAAACACCGGCAAACGGAACTGGGATGACATCTACAATGGCGGTGTCACGGTCATCTCCATGAGAGGCCATTTCCGAATCAGAAGAATGCTCTGTGAGGCTCATCTCGATCGAATCCAGAAGTGAAGATGGGGAATCCAAGGTTGGGAAATTACCTGAGCAAGGGAAGCAGGAGGAAATTTGCAGAGGAAACAACGAAGGCCAAGGAATTGCAGAGTCGAAACCCCGAATTGAGGAGTCAAGGGCTAATTTATAAGCCTTGAAACCGCCGTGTCAAGAACCAATCAGAGAGCGACACATCACTAGGGGCATTTAAGCTAGACACGCGTCTAATGAAAAGACTAAACGACGGTTATCATGATGAATATGGGGAAATGAAGAGGCAACCGTCAAATCGCAGCATGGGGAACTGATTATTTCTGTACCCCGATCGCCATTCGGGGTATTATGACATTGGTATACTTCTGGATGCACTCACTTCGTTCGAGACATCGGAAGTGGGGGACTTGTGTTGGGATATTGGCCTAAAGGCCCAATACCCAGTTCGGGAAGGCCCAAGGTGTCCGGCCCAAGTAACAGGCCCATCACTCCATGATGAAAAGATCCAATAAAGAGACATACCGAACGAGGTTCGGCCCAAATAAAGGTTGGCCCAATAAGAAGACATACCGAACGAGGTTCGGACTATATATTATACTTGGGCCAATTTGACAGCATCTTCAGTACGGGCCTACATCCCGTTCGAGCAACGGCCAACCAGCAAGTGGCCAGGTGCAGTTAATGCCAGACTATGACATCAGCAAGTGGAAGCATGGATGACCAAGTCGGTGGAACAACGGCCAATCAGCAAGAGGCAGCCCATGCTCTCCATTAGTATAAATAGAAGGTTTCAAGTCATTGTAAGGGTTAGCATTTCAATACTCAAGCTCTAGAATAGCATCATTTGCTCTTATTTCTTGTATTAAGGCATAGTTTCCGACTTATCGATCGGGAAATCTCTTGTAATCAGATTGGTTAATTAATACAAGTGAGCTTTCGAGTTTTAGTTAGTTCAAATCTTATATTTTCTCGTACACCTTGATTCTGGGCCATTCCTGATATATCCAAAGTTCGTGTTGGGCTTTCGGATCTACGGGACTTACCCTCAACATACACTTTTTTTTAATAAATTAGTTACCCAATACAATCAAAAAAATTAATGCGGCGGACATGTATAAAATTGTAATCGCTCATTCCTAGAGGTGGACTCGGGCCGGGCCAACCGGCCCGGAACCGGACCGGCCCGCTACTGTGCGGGCCCGGCCCGGCCCGGTGAACCGGTTCCGGGTCCGGTTCGGGCCAACCAGCCCGGTGGGATGGCGGTTCGGGCTCGGGCCCTTCAAAAGGTGAACCGGCCCGTGCCGGGCCAATGTTTTTTTTTTGATTTTTTTTAAGTTTTTGGGTTGGGCTGGGTATTTTGGGTCATTTGAGGTGGTTAGGGTTGGTTTGGGGGTGAGGAGGAGGGTTGGGGGTTAACTAGGAAAAGCCAAAAAAAAATAGAACCGAGGCCCGACCTGGACCCGGGGGTTACCCGGGCCGGTTCCGGGCCTCCCCTTCTTGAACCGAGGCCCGGCCGGGCCTAGGCCCGAACCACACTCGTTACCGAGTCAATGCGGTTTCTCCATTTTGACCGGGGTGGTTCGGATCAGTCAATTGCCATTCCTATTTAGTATATTTGGATTTCAACCTAGAGAAACGTAATTTCTCCCTAGAATTTAATCAGAATAATCTAATGACTAATTCACAGAAGCTAAAGAAAATCAAATCAAAGAGAAAATTACCATACATACGCAATTACGCAGTGTTTGAAAAGAAAGCAAATGTGTTCAAACATATATGCCACCAAGATGACTTTTAATTAATGCCCCAATGGAATGGGTATACTTCGTATAATTGGGAATTCCAAACGTCTAGACCTTTCGATCCCTGCTCATATTTATTATATAAAAAAAAGATGACATCTCATCACTGAGGGCTCTGTACCCGATACTTGCAGAGACATATGCATTTTTTGCTCATATTTATTATTACTACTTCATACGGAGTATTTTTTTTAATCATTCAGCGATCCCCTTTAGATGGCAGAGTGGGCTGGAGTGAGCTATTTAGCAAATGGGCGGGCAAGTCCACGAACCAATGAGCCCACTAGCTAAAACCCAGTCCTGCCACATGAACACTTCCTCCTGATCTGTCGTCAGTTATGAATAACGGCATACTCAGATTTTCTCTCCTTTAGACTCGGAGCGCGCCTCTTTCTAGCTCCTTACACTCTTCCCAGAAAAACCGACCCACCCACAGAAAACTTCAAACTTCATCGCAGCTGAAATAATTATACTCCCCCATTTTCAGCCTTCTCGTATTTATATATATAATGGTTATAGTAATCAGTTTCACTTTATAGATGTTCTAATTTCTTCTATGTCTGAGCTCCCAATCCATTACAAATTAATCAGTACAAATTCTGGGAACTGGAGATATACGTAGAGAAAATGGCCTGTAAGAAGTTAGGATCCAAATCCGATGTGTTTCACCTGGACGGCCAAGAATGGTTAGTTAGTCATCGTTTTTTGCATCTTTTTTCTAAATTATGCTGTTTTCAGCATATAATCATTGACTAATGCATTTTGTTTTGGGGTTTTATGTGATTAGGATTTCTCCCACTTTCTGTTTCGTTTTTCAGGATTTAATTTCGCCTGATTATTCATTCTTCAGAACGTATTTAGGACTACAGAGATAAAACTAGTATGAATAATACTCCGTAGTTATCTAGTTAGTTTAACAGTTTAAGCTTTTTTGGGACATATCAGTAAATGAAGGTGAGATTGGTTATATTTAGTGACAATTAGCTAAAGCAGAAGCTTAATGTCTAGATAATTACTGCTATTGTATGGTTTATAATAGGGGCATGTTCAGAGGCGGATCCAGGAATTTGGGTTAGACTTGGTTGAAGAGTAATTATAACAGGCTTAAACATTAGAGGGGTGTGCTACATATGAAAAATGAAAAACTTTACACTAAAAATTGGAGACAAAAAATTAAGTTTCCCTAGGCTTCAGCCCACTATAGCCCATACGTAGATCCTCTCTGGGTGTGTTGTTGTCTGGGGCAAGATTATGGTTACTGAATTTGAAATGCTATTTGATTAATGAATACTCCCGGAAAAAACAGAAACTGTGATTCCAAAAAAAATGAAATCACGTCAAGGACTTGTTTGGTTCAGGGACTTTAGAGGGGAGGGGAGGGGAGGAATATATCTCTATTTGTTAGGCTTACACTGGAAAAATTATATGATTAGTTAGATCATATACTATATAATTATCTTCAATTCATTTCCATCTACCTCGATGTAGAAATGATTTTAAAAATAAAAATAACCCCTAAACTCCCATCCAAAATCCCCGAACCAATCAAGTGCTAAAAGACTTGAAGAATTGTTAACCTCTTGTTGATCAAATTTTGGGCTTGCTGATGAAGGGATCGTAATAACAAATGCAGGTTCACATCAACAGGCCTTCCTAGTGATGTCACGGTTGAGGTTGGAGAAACTTCCTTCCATCTTCACATGGTGAGACAGATAAATTTACTAAATAAACCAATTTTTATTTGTTAATTAATATTTACTAGTCTCCTGAAATCTTGAACATCTTGCAGTTCCCACTGTTGTCAAGGAGCATGTTATTAGAGAATCTGATCCCCCGAGATTCACCCAAATATGGCAAGAGACGTGTTGTCCATCTTCATGACATACCTGGGGGAGCAAAAGCTTTTCTATTCGTGGCAAAGTTCTGTTACGATATCAAGACTGAACTCACAGCCATGAACGTGGTCACTCTTAGATGCGCAGCCGAGTATCTCCAAATGAGAGAAGATTATGGAGAAGGAAACCTCATCTTCCAGACCGAAAACTTCCTGATAGAAGTTTTCGGTTCATGGGATGACTCACTCAGAGCCGTTGAGGACTGTGAAGGGGTTTTTCACAGTGCAGATGAGATCCACCTTGTCTCGAGATGCATAGAATCATTGGCTATGAAAGCTTGCGCTGAACCAAGATCGTTAACTCGTCACAATAGTCCTACGAGGGCCCTGCCCGATGCTACTTCCTGGAACGGGTTAGGTTCGGTCTCCAAACCGTCTAACGAACGTGATCTTAGTGATGATTGGTGGTATAAGGATGTCTCGGGACTTAAATTGCATATGTATAAGAGGCTAATCTTTGCTGTAACTTCAAACGGTATGGATCCAAAGAGAATTGCTGGCTCTGTAATGTGCTATGCAAAAAGGTACCTTCCATTAGATGGCAGGGCATCTGTAAATATGCCTGTTTCGTCCGAACACGAACAGGTGACTCTTCTAGAAGAGATTGTAGGGTTACTCCCTGATCAAAAGGGAATAATCCCAACCAAGTTTCTTCTTAAGCTCATGAGGATATCCATGATCCTAGGGGCAGACCCATCTTGCCGGGATATACTCGAGAAGAGGATTGGGTCCCAGCTGGATAACGCGGCATTGGAAGATATTCTTATTCCAAGCATTGGATACTCGGCTGAGACCTTATATGACATTGATTGTGTTCAGCGGATTGTTGATTATTTCATGTTGGGGGATTCGGATGAAAGTGATTCCTCCTCGAATGAATTAGTGGATGATCAGCAGTTAATCCCGAACTCTCGTGAACTAACCCCGACAACCATGGTGGCTAATCTAGTGGACAACTATCTCGCTGAGGTCGCACCCGATGTTAATTTGAAATTAACCAAGTTCCTGTCACTTGCTTCCCTCATCCCAGGCTATTCCAGACCTTTAGATGATGGCATCTACCGTGCAATTGATATTTACCTCAAGGTAAACATTCTTTCCTCTATCTATTCCAGTCATTAACTATGTATATGCATAAGAGCCTTGTATGCTTCATGACTTGACTTATTTCAATCCTTATGGTTATTAAGGCTTGACTTAATTCTATGCCAAAAGAGCTTTATCATTCATATATAGTCGATGTGGAATAATTCCAACTCAAACAAAAATTGTTTTACAATGGCCTGTCTTTATCACCATCAAGGTAGCATCTGCCTCAACTTTTTGGCATTTATATTTACCTCAAGGCATTATCCTTTTTTCAATTTATATAATTGTATGCATAGCTACACTGTAGTCAATTTTATGCATGACCGTCTTTCTGATGGCAAAATGCTTAAATCAAAGAGAGATGCGTTTGTTGAAAAGAATTGCACCATTTTACAATTAGCTTGACATAATTCATGTATGCTAATATATATATCTATAATCATATACTACGATAATACTATTAATTAATAAGATTATACGTAGTATATGATGATGTAAAGGATATAGAACCTAGTTTTATTAGTAATTGTTTTCCTTCTTCATAAGTGATCTTCGAATCGTGTTCTTCAAGGATAGTTGTTTTTATGTCTGACAGTTGTGTTTAGTATTTTTCTCATACTTCTATCTCAAATGCTTTGAACCGTGAATTGATTAATGATAGTTAATTTACTCTTCCTCCAAAAAGACAAGGTTAAGTTGTTATAATTGATAATAACTTTATTCATATTTTTAATAGAGTTAGAATTTTACTAATCTAGCCTTTCTAAAGCTATAACTGTCCAAAAAGGTTGAATCCCCAACACCAAGGCCCCCAGCCTCTCTGGTTTTAGTAATCTAGCCTCTCTAATGCTCTAAGAGTTAGAAATCTCTCCATAAATCTCTTTGTAATACAAGGCTAGATCTAAATCCATGTGTTTAAGACTATATCTTTTCTCATTTTTATTAGGGGGAATTTGACTTTGCACCCCATTTTTGAGTGATATTGGACTTTGCACCCCAATTTGAAAAAACTTTGATTTTGCACTCCATCACATAACATTTTGTGAAGAAACATTTGTGAATGGGGTGCAAAGTCAAAGTCTTTTGAAAATGGGGTGCAAAGTCCAATATCAACCAAAAAGTGGGGTGCAAAGTCAAATTCCCCCTTTTTATTAATATACGGGTTAATACTGAGACAATGTTTCGCAATGCTTAATTCAATTGTTGAATCCTCAAAGAATTTTATGCATTTATATTTAGCTGATGTGATATAACAACACAAATATTCTAATGGTAAGATATTGTGTTAGGAGTCTGATGACCTGTTTTTCTCCAGGCACATCCATGGCTAACGGACTCAGAAAAAGAGCAACTATGCAGGCTGATGAACTGCCAGAAGCTCTCATTGGAGGCCAGCACGCATGCTGCACAAAATGAGAGACTGCCGCTCCGCGTTATAGTCCAAGTTTTGTTCTTTGAACAGCTTCGCCTGCGTACGTCTGTGTCTGGATGGTTCTTCGTCACAGAAAACCTTGACAATTCGCAGGATCTAAGCAGAAACATAGGTCCGAGGATTGAGAGCGGGACTCACGAAATCTCGGTAAACAACCCGATTGTTACCGTTGATGAAATGAGAACTCGTGTGTCCTCACTGGAGAAGGAATGCTTGGGCATGAGACAAGATATTCAGAAGCTGGTGAAGAACAAAGGGACCTGGAACAGTATATTTAAAATGCTTGGTTTGAGGCTGAAGACGACAACAAGGTCTGGTGGTGATCATCATCATCCTAAGACTGTGAAGACGCCTTTGAGTGCCAAAATGTTTAGGAATTCTAGAAAGGTGGGTTCAAATGGAAAGCAAATAAAGGATAGTAATGGTGACAGTGATAAGATTATACAGTCTCAATCTTGAGAAGGAATTATAGAGTAATAGTATATTGTAGTAATTATTATGGGGTATTCTGTTTTGGCTTACCTGGTCTGTCTCTCCATTGTGGTAAATGACCAGAAATGGAATATCAGGTTATCACAACTTAACCAGTTTTATGCATGAGAGATGTTGAGACTGTAAATTGTTTTGCATTCCTAGAGAGATTGACTAATATATTTACCTGCACACTTTATCATATTCAAGATTTCAAGGTAATTATTTCAATTCAGGACTCCTTTGAAACTCCAATAATCCAGTGATTTCACCATTAGCTCATGAGGTCAAATTGACATTCCATCACCTCATTTATTCTATCCAATTTGTTCTGCCAGTGTCACTGTGTGAAGGAAGATAAGAGATTTAAGCTCTACATTTTGGAAAATAGCACTCCATAATTTCTTCTATTCACAAATTTTATAAATGAAAATGTGAAAATAAACTTGCATGAATCCTAAAGAAGAGTGAAACTAGTAGTACAGATTTTTTTCTGGACTGAATGAGTTCTATTTAAAAAAACTAACGTTAGTTATATTTAACTAAATGTCTTTACCTAAGTCCTATAATGACCAAGAACTGCAAGCTTGTGGGATGAATTGGTCCTATAAAATTTACAAACATAATATATGGTTTCATGTTTCCTTATGTTTCATATTCCCCCTCTTTATCCCTTTAAATTTCTTCAACTTTGACTTACACCTCAAATAAGAGTAAAAATTGTACAAGTCATATCTTTGTAGAGAAGAGACAAACTACATTAAACAAAAATTAGTCGCTAAAAAGCAATAGGAAAAATAAGTATGTCATATGTTAGTGGCATCATCAAGATATCTAAAATCATAAAGAATTTACAAACAATTTAACATGGGAAAACTCTTTGAGGAGGATGTGCGTCTAAAACTTGGTTTCCTCTAGACGAAGGAAAGGAGGAGAAAGAAAAATGAATCCTTACGAATCGGGGCGACAAAAGAGAAAAATGAAAGAAAGAAGAGAAAAATGAAAGAAAGATGAGAATCGTGTCGATAACGTGTTGTGAACCACGTAAAAACGCGTTTTCATTATGATATATATACAAAGGAGAGTTAGAATTACACCACGAGATGAGCAAGTACACTTGAATTTGGGGATTAATAGATTTCACATAATAATTATTTGTTATTAATTTTTCACAAAGGTCTTAACCTACATAATTTCCTATTTGTTAAAAGTTTCTGGTTCGATCCGGGAACCGACTCACAAATGGGTCTCTGTCCAAGGCTCAGTGATTCCACCGAATAGCAAATAGCAATATCCTATCCGGTGCAAGATAGTGAACATACCACCAGTATGTTAACTTGCGCACATCCAAATTTCAACTGAACAAAACCCAATTCTGGAAACACCCCATTTGGGCATGGCTTCTCCTTCTCCAGTCTCTGCTGTGTGCGTCCAAGGCTCTCCTGGTGCTCGTAAAGGTTCTACTGATTAACTGTTATCTGAAACCACTTTTATCGTTTTGCTTTCGCGGGAAGGACTTCAATGCGGTTTCGTTTCCATATCTAGGGTTTTAGTTTCGTGTTGCTGCCTCCTTATTCAATCCTGCGTTGATGAATCACCGACATTTAAACTGTATTTGGTTATGATTCTGTATCCTGTTCGGCTATGAAGAATGTGGAAATAGCCCAATGGCTCAACGGGCTACCACTGGCGCCCGAATTTCGCCCCACAGATACTGAATTTTCTGACCCGATTGCCTATATTTCTAAAATCGAGAAAGAAGCTAGCTCTTTCGGTATATGTAAAGTGATTCCTCCGTTTTCTAAGCCTTCTAAGAAATATGTGCTCCATAACTTGAATAAGTCGCTCACAAAGTGTCCAGAGTTGGGTTTAGATGTAAAGGTTTGTTCTGATAAAGGGAATGAACAATTTGGGGAGTCTAGGGCAGTGTTTACTACCAGATGTCAGGAATTGGGCCAGAGTGAGAAGAAGAAGACGAATATGAAGATGAAGGGGATGTCAGGGAGTCTGTCATTTGAAGCTCAGAAAAAGGTTTGGCAAAGTGGAGAAGTTTATACACTGGAACAGTTTGAAGCAAAATCAAAGTCTTTTGCTAGAAAACAATTAGGCACAGTTAAAGATGTTTCACCATTAGTTGTTGAGACAATGTTTTGGAAGGCAGTTTCTCAGAAGTCAGTTTATGTGGAGTATGCTAATGACGTGCCAGGTTCAGGTTTTGGCGAGCCTGAAGGAGTTTCCAATATTTACAGGAAAAAGAGGAGGAGGAAGAAGAGGGAAGTGTTTGATCGAAGCCACAAAAAAACTTGTGATAACAAGAAAGAAGGTCTTCTTGGTAGTAATAGTATCGATAAACAGTCATTTTGTGTTAGTCCTGATATATGTAAAGTCTCACCGTCTGATTGTTCAGCATCTTCTCAACCAAATGGTTTATGTGATAGTAATGATGTGGAGGGTAGTGCTGGATGGAAACTATCAAACAGTCCATGGAATTTACAAGTCATAGCTAGGTCACCTGGATCACTAACCCGCTACATGCCGGATGATATTCCTGGTGTTACGTCTCCTATGGTCTACATTGGTATGTTGTTCAGCTGGTTTGCATGGCATGTGGAAGATCACGAGCTTCACAGCTTGAATTTCCTTCACACGGGATCCCCAAAAACTTGGTATGCAGTGGCGGGTGACTATGCATCAAAGTTTGAAGAAGTTGTGCGAGTGCAGGCTTATGGAGACAGTACTGATCCATTAGGTATGTGGATGGTTGCTGTTGAATTGTAAAACATTTACCAACTTTATAGATTCAGAATATTTCAATGACAGTTTTAGGAATCCTGAGATTGGAAGAATATCTTTTTTATTTAACATCTCATCATAGCTCATAAATTTAAATCTATGAATACCACACTTGCAGCACTTACCAAACCATATGCTTCATGATTCTGGACCCTCTTAATAATCTTCATTTCTTTGGGAACAAAGCTCCTATGTCATATTTATATAACAAGATGGGAAGTTGATGTCCTTTAATATTGATAGTCAGTGCTTGGAATTATACATGCATTTGTCATTTGCATAAGATTTCTTGATACAGCTATGTAGATAGTGGTATCATGACATCCCTGAACATTTCAATTGTTTATCAGGGTAAGTTTACAAAGTGGATTTTCTTAGGCCGACACTTCATGTGTAAAGATGTAGTATACTAGTATTGGTGACAATTCTCACTGGAAACATGTTTTCATCAGTTTAAGTTGTAGTGTTGATTTTCTTAGGCTTTAACGTGACATGTTTTCATCAGTTTGCTTGGTAATCTGCAGCTGCTCTTACTCTATTGGGTGAGAAGACTACTCTTCTATCACCTGAAGTAATTGTTTCATCAGGCATACCCTGTTGCAGGTGGGCTGCTATTATCTACCACTATTTCCTTATGTGGTTACACTTTAAACTTATCTTGTTAATGAGACAATTTGATGTTCTTGGAGATAGATTTTGTGGCTCCAGCTGCATAATTTTTCACCCCCTTGTTTGTTATTGTTTCAGTATCTACAATAACCTTTTTTATATAGGTTAGTGCAGTACCCTGGCGAGTTTGTGGTCACTTTTCCAAGGGCATACCATGTAGGGTTCAGTCATGGTAATTGCTTTTATTTTGTTTACATATTGGAGTATTTCTTTTTTCTTTTTGTTTTTTCAAATCATCATCTTTTCTTCCCATTTTACCTTTAAACTAAGTATTCTAGATTATGGATATGCCAAATCCATTTGGAATGTCAACTTTTCTCCAAACCCCATGTAGGAATGTAGTTTAACTGAAGCTGATATACTTTTAACTGTGGTTAGCTTCAATAATGTTCTTTCCTAGCTACTATCGACAAGGTCTTGATCATAAAGAGCTCGTGGATTTAGTTTCCTATTAATAGGTGTTTTTAGGCCATGAATGACGTTTATTGAGTGTTTAAACCATTATGTTGTTATTTCAAATATGCTGATCCTAACCCTCTGTCTCTATACGACCCGTTTAGTGATTTACATCATTTGGTCAATAATAACAACACTGCTTTTGAGATAATAATCATGTGTCATTGAAATGCATACAAATTTTTAGTGATGTTATGTCAATTTTATTTCTTTGAAATCAGAACAGACAAAATTGTTTAACCATTTGGTTCACATTTTTTCGCATTACTCTGAATGCATCAAGTTCTGTGTCAACCACTAATAGTTGTTTTGTCATACTGCACTTTCTCTTTTCAGGTTTCAATTGTGGGGAGGCTGCTAACTTTGGAACTCCTCAGTGGCTCACAGTAGCTAAAGATGCTGCAGTTCGTCGAGCAGCCATGAATTATCTTCCCATGCTTTCTCATCAGCAGTTGCTATACCTGTTGACCATGTCTTTTGTTTCAAGGTCAGCCTGTAAGCTTTTCATTTCACGTTTAAGGAGACACTTCTCAAAAACAAAAGGAAGATTAGAAATTCATAAATAATCACAAGTGTTGCAGTTGCTTCTAGATGGTGAAGTTGGGATAAATTTTTCTTTAAATTCTTTCTACTTGATTTCCTAGTGCCTCTCTAGTTCTTTCTTTTTGGTTTTCACCAAGGCAATATCACTCTCATACACTGTACCCATCAATTTGAAACTGATATGTCTATAGCACAATATAAGGGCTATGTTCTAGGTGTGTAGCATATATTGATATCAATGGGTCCAATTGGTATTAAGCCTCTGTTACTTGCATTGTCAACAGGTGAGAAGTTGATCTTTGTGCCACTTTTATAATGTTTTCATAGAACTGAGAATATAAATATGGATAAACCTGTTTTGTGGAGTTACTCACTCACAAAGGAAGGGAACCCTGATCTATTTAGTTTGATACATATTAGGTTCTTTTTAGCCTTTGATTGTTGAGTGTTCTTCAAACATTGGACAACAGAGTGCCAAAGTCATTGCTTCCTGGGGTGCGAAGCTCTCGCTTGAGAGATCGTCAGAAGGAAGAAAGAGAGACTTTGGTGAAGAAAGCATTTGTGGGAGATGTCCTAAAGGAGAATGAGTTAGTAACCATTTTACTACAGAAGCATTCCTCTTACCAAGCAGTGTTGTGGGATGTGGATATGTTGCCATCTGCAAGTGAACGATGTGAATTGCAAAAGTGTGTTGGTACTGATTTAACAAAGAAGTGTAGTGATCAAAATGATGACAAGTACAACAGCCGGGATATTTTAAACAAAATGAACTCATATTTGGAAAATTTGAGTGATTTATGTGCGGAAGATGAGGATTTATCAAATGAATTTCAAGTTGATACTGGAGCATTGCCTTGTATAGCTTGTGGGATACTGGGTTTTCCTTTTATGGCTGTTGTACAGCCATCAGAGAAATCAATAAAGAACTTCTACAACCATCATACAATACAATGCATGGGAGAGCTGAAATCTTTTGAATCACGTTCCCATCCGCAACGGGATAGCATAGTATTTGGCGATGTTGCAGGTATATGCATTAATACTGCCCCTATTTTTTGTTGTATTATTTTCATTGATGGTAAAATAATTGCTGGCCTTATAGGCATTTCTCATTTTAAATTAAAATAATAAAAAGTAGATAAAAATCATTTAATATTACCTACCTGTTGCATCTGTAGACTGAAAGGCTTGTTTTGCTACTTGATTTCTGGAAGAGACTTCTAGCTAGGAATATACATCCATCCTCTCTCTAATGAGATAGTGGATATCCAAGAAATGCCAAGTTTCAGGAATTTCTCTTCTTCAGATTCTCAATCTGACCTAATATAACCCCCAACCTGTAATTGCAAGTTTCCACTCGTAGGGTCCTGGTTACAGTTTCTAGCTCTGAAGTTGTCTTAGCTGTAACACATGAAATGGGATACCTTACTTCAATCTTTATCTAAGAGGCCAATTGTGGTGCCCACTCCTTCTAGGGAAGGGCAGTATACTGAAAGCTATTTGGACCTGCCTACTGTATCTACCTTTTCTACGTTGCTTATAGTTGAAGTTGAGGCATTCAGTTACATATTATCTGCCCATCTTCTAAGGAATTTTGAATTAATTTGCTGATTTGCTCATTGTCCACTTGATAAATATGAAACACTGACATTGCTTCACCTTGCTCATTTTTCCATTTGTGTGCAGGAGACAGGTCAATGCCACCTGAAAGGCTTCTCCTTCACCTTAAAGAAGTGTCTTGTGCTGAATCAGGACAATCTACTGCTCCTCAAATGAAGGGTCAATTCCCATTAGCTGGCCCTCTATCTGCAAGTAATCCATCTGTCGACCTTGAAGACAAATGGGATACATATAATACATTTTTAAGGCCACAAATACTTTGCATTGAACATGCAATTCAAACTGAAGAGTTGTTGCATAGAAGGGGTGGGGCAAAAGTTCTTGTTATCTGCCATTCAGGTGAGAATAACAATCTTTTGGATCTCTAAATGCGATCCAAAATAGGGAAGAAATTTAATAACCCCCCGTCCTAAAAACAGGGTTATAAGGTACAACTTTTTACTTAAGTTAATCTCAATTAAGGTACAACTGTGCAAGTTCTTACAAGTTATGAATTGTTCCCAAGAAAATTATTTCCAAGACTGGAGCAATTGACCATAGCAGCTTGCTACTTCGCTTCAGAAGAATTTAATTCAAAAGTAAACTTGGCTTTCAAAATCAAACTCTTTTTTCTGAAGTACGGAGTACATAACTGTTTGACAAGATGTCTGTGACTATTTTTTCGTGCAGACTTTCAGAAAATAAGGGCTTATGCTACATTTATCGCAGAGGAAACAGACACCACGTTTGTCTATAATGAGATTGTCTTAGACAATGCATCTAAGGAACATCTTCAGTTGATAGATCTTGCAATTGAAGATGGATACAGAGAATGTGCTGAAGACTGGACATCAACACTACACATCAATTTACTGCATTCTATGAAGAAGTTGAGTAAAAACAGCTGTCAAACAGCTAAGAAGTTAGAGTATGCGCTGATTTTAAGTAGGCTATTCCCCGACACAACAACCTCCAGTATGAAGTGTTTGGGTTATGAATGGGAATCCAGAAAAGTACGCTCTAAGAGAAGGACAAATCCCAAACCAGCAAATAAACTATGTGTGCCTTCCAAATTTGAGGAGAAATGTTTGGAATCAAAATTAGACAACACTCGAGCATCCAGAGAAGAAACAATAGCCGTCCAGTATTCAAGGAAAAGATTCAAGTTAAAACCACGTGCTTCTTTAGAAAGTGATATTTCCACTCATGAGATCTCCAGTGCTAATGAAAAACTGGAGAATCTCATTCCTCAGATGCTGGCAATGGAGGACCGAAGCAGAAATTCACACATAAATGATTCACCCGATGTTACCAGTTTTGTGAAAAGCCCATGTGAAGGCCTAAGGCCAAGGGCATCCAAGAAAGAGACATCAGTGTGTACAAGTGATAATAATACTAAGAACAATTTCCAGGACCAAAGGAATGGAGGACCCTCACACAGGTGTGACATTGAAGGGTGCAAAATGAGTTTCAAAACAAAGAGAGAGGTGTCCCTTCACAAACGTAACCGGTGTCCAGTCAATGGTTGCGGAAAGAAGTTTAACTGTCACAGATATGCCGTACGTCATCAACGCGTCCATGAAGAAGATAGACCCTTGAAATGTTCATGGGAAGGTTGCAGCATGTCTTTTAAGTGGAGTTGGGCAAGGACTGAACATTTGCGTGTTCACACAGGGGAACGACCTTACAAATGCAAGTTTGAAGGATGTGGCCTCTCTTTCAGGTTTGTGTCAGATTTTAGCAGGCATAGGCGTAAAACGGGACATCATAGCAGCTGATTGATCCACTACGTCAAAAGAATGGTTTTGTCTCGACAGGTTGGTTTGCTATAAGTTTGCTACCCTTCATTTCCTAAAAAACTCCCAGCAGAAAGGGAGGGTTGCCTTACTGTGAAACCTCTGTAGGTTTTGATATGTACCAGACTGATTAAAGTTTGATTTCTTTAGGATGGTTCATCTTTGTAAGAAGATTGATCGAATTCCTACTTAGGGTAGTATTGTCATCTGTTGTGACGTGAAAAGATAATAGCTCAGTGGAAGTAGATGATGTAATATTAGCAGATCAGTTTGTCCATTTTAGTGTGTTTAAAAGAGTAGATTAGTTATCAGTAAATGGGCAAGATAGCCTATTTTTTCTTACATTAATAATACACAGCCGGTGCCAGAGGATACCTACTTTCTTGCATTATAAATAATACACACACACACATACATATAAATATATATAATAGAATTGGTACAAGAATGAGAGGGACTAAGCCAAGACCTCATAAGAAATGCATACAATCAAGGGTAGAACCCAGGGACAAATTTTATTAAAATGAAATACCCTGGAAACACAGTCTAGAGCATCGCTTGAGTGTTAGGAACCTCCCACAGAGGGCATAGATCGAAGAAGTAGGCTCCTAGAGCAATAGGAGTCTTCTGGTTGCCATTTAACTCTGGGCTATGTGCTAATAGATGAGAGACCGAGTTGGCTTCCCTGTAGCAGTGGCGAAAGGAGTGTTGTTGTTTGGGTGTTTGCAAAAAAAATTTAGATGATCGTTATGAGTCTGTCCGGTCACGAGTTGTTTGGGGGAGGATAAGAGGGAAATCACGGCTAGGGTTGATATTCAACTGTGAAACTGAAGTATCCAGCTTGAGTGGCCCATTCAACCACGATATGGGTAGCTTTGAGTCCGGCTTCTAAAACTGAGGAAGCATTGAAGGAGAAACACTCTAAATTTGCCTTCTGAGTTACGCATAATTGCTTCACCGGATGATTTGGCAGGTAAGCGTGCCACGTACATGTTGAGTTTGGTGCAATTTCTTGGCTTTTCCCATTGAACTGAGATTAATCTATGTTTGATGGCCATGGTCTTGGGGATGAGACGTTCCTTAAAAAGAAGCTCTGTAGGTCTAGACTTCTTGGAGATAATAAGACCATTTGACCAGTTAATAAGATAGGCTTTGATTTTACGAAAATTCTGTGGCAAGGGGACCCGGGACCGAGCAGTTGTCCCAAGTGAAGGCCGCATAAAATTTCCAAGTGTGCCAAATTATGAGCCCTGGGAGAACGTGCTTGAAGATGTCCTCCATGTTAGTTGACCCTCCTGCAAACCACCTGGAAGAACAGGCCTCCCTACACAAAAAATCAGCGTTGGGAATAGGAATGAGGAAGATACCCATCAATTCATCAAATAGTCCTAAGCTGGTTTGACGAGGGAGCACTGGAAAAATAGATGATTAGTGGTGGCAAAAGGCAGAAGGGGCATCTTGAAGGCATTAGGTTTACATGAAGTTTGCACCATGAATAGCCGCCAGAGGAACTCCCAATTGTCGTCCTCGTCTTCTGATTTTACTGAGGTCGAGCATCTTTTCCCGTACCCTCTTTTCTTCTTTCCTTGTGCCCAGATGTCAAACAGCCTGGAGATGGAGGAGATCTGGATGGCACTCTGCGATTTATGGAAGGTCAAAACCCCGCTGAACCGAGTCTACTACGAGCTTGAAGCTCGACGAGCTTTACAAATGAGGCTCATGTTCGGCTCGATAGGCGTTCGATGTTCAAACCGAAGCTCGATAAGCTCAATAAATATGCTCAAATATAAAATTTGAGGTGATTCTCGTTAATAGGCTTGTGCTCGAATTTTTCAACAAGTATTCGGTTTGTTAGTAATCATATTTAAATTCATTAAGTCATACTAACTATATTTAAATTTTGACCTATATATAAACTATATTTGTAATTTCAGGGTGTTCGATAGACTCGAGCTCGAACCGAGCCGAATACTACTATGTTCGAGCTCAGCTCGATGAATTTTTTGAACTTAAAATTCAGCTCGGGTTTGACTTTGAAAGTTCGTTAAGCTCGGCTTGTTAGGTTCAAAACCGAGCTTGAACTAGAATATTTCGATAAAAGCTCGGTTCATTAAAAGCCCTAATCTGGGATGACGACATGACTTCCCGTCGCCTATCTAGCTGCATCCCACATTGCCTCTTCAGGTGCGCTGCCGATTTTCAGTTTGACCTACTAAAGGAGCTGGGTGATTTGGGAACCAATTTGAGCCTCCATGGAAGAATTACCGGTCTTCAAACGAGGAAGAAGGCCCGCGACTCTGCGAAAGAAAGAAAGAAAGAAAGAAGGAAAGAAAGAAAGACAAAGAACTAAAAGAAAAAACGGGATACCTAGCTCGCCACGTGTGCGCCGCATGAGTAGGTAACTTGCCAAATGTCGGATTTGGCGAAATTTACATAATAGGAGGGCATAATTTACGGGGGCTTAATTGGCTTTCCATACATAGTATGAACTTATTTGGCACTTTTCTCTTTATTTGAGTGACTGTTTGGTTACCATATTTTTTGTATTATCAATGATTTTCTTAAAAAAAAAAAAAAATATCATTGTACTTTTCTGATGACTATTTCAGGGTAGTCTCCTCCAATGGCAGTTTCCGAAAGCGACTGAGCGGGTGTAGGGTGGAGGCTGGGGCAGAGATTGGATGTAAATTGCAATATGAAAAAGTTTGGATTAAACATTAAACAAAAACTAGTCATATTTTTTGGAAAGGAAAAAGAAAACTAGTCACTTTGCATTTTACAAAGCCATAGATAAATAATACTTTTGCCCTGTTCTTAAAATATTATAGTAACGTATAAATTTTATAAGTTTCATAAAAGGGTAATTTGAGTTTGCACCCATTTTATTGTCCAAATTAGACTTTGCATATTATTTTTAAAAAACATTGTATTTGTACCTCCAACCTCGTATGAAAAGACAAAAATGCTCATCGATCAGAAATATGTTGAAGGCCAACAAAATTGTTATGAAGGGGATCCCAAATGAAATAAATATGGTATATTCTATGGTACCCATAAGGTAGGAGTGTGCACGGTTGGTTAACCGCATTTCGGTTAACCAATCTTTGGTTAACCGTGCTTTCGGTTAGAATGTTTATAATATCATTAACCGTACCATAACATCGGTTAACCGTAGAACATTAAACCGTAATATAGGTTAACCATTAATTGGTTAACCGAAAAACCATTTGCTCATTCAATTTACGACCTTAAGCTTATACGAGTATGAGTATTCGTTTCTTGTATGAAATTGGTTTCTATATTGAATATGAACTATGAAGCACATTGTGTTTCTAATAAAGGCAACATGAGTGTTTGGCACACGTGTATATGCTCTGTACCTTACATATGTGAGAAACAAGGATGTAAAATACGAGTAAATCATGAATGGATTTGCATGGGAATGACAAGTGGGTGCAATTGCAGTGGTGTGTAATAATGCAATAATAATAATAATAATACAAATGTATACGTATATATCCTAATTATACGACATACAGAGTATAAAACTCAGTACACTAAATGTTTCCAGTACGAGACAATACACACGCAACATGTTTACTATGACATGTGTTTACTAGTAATAATATGTTAACGGTGGATTACTGGTTAACCGATGGTAGAAATATTTCAAAACCGTAACCATCCCATGTACCGCTTTCTCTTTCGGTTGGTTAACCGTACCGCAAAATTTTCTAAAACACGGTACGGTTAACCGAGAAAACACCGGTTTTACGGTATTTTAGTACGGTTAATCGGTTACGGATATTTATGCCCACCCCTACCATAAGGTACCATACCTTCGTCCACATGGATCAATCAAAATGTTGCAGTTGAATTATTTAAATCTAAATTAAAAATGATATAATGATTTGGACCAATCAAGTGAATGATAGGTACTGTACCCTATTTTTTAAAGGTAGATTTTATGGTACCCTTAAAGTACCATACTTTTATGAGAAATGGTGTCAAATAGGACTAAAAAAACTTAATGTAACTAAATAGGAGTCCAAGCTTTTTAACTTCTAAATAGGACTTATTTTTCCGTGCCTTCCCAATTTACCCCTATCATATTACTCCGTATTACCTCTGCCTTTCAGTCAATAAACACATCCAGCCATACGATAGGGGACTGGGTGGAGCAATTTACGGGACAAGGCTTGCTCGCGGAAACTTAATAAGATGAGGATGGCGTGTGGTCGCGCGGCACTGACGATTATTGCAGCGGCGGCAACACGTCTGAGCGGACGCTACAGAGACGATAGACATCGAGGAAAGAGATCAACTGCAGCAGTGCCGGCCAAAATCTTACGGATCTCTTCTTCTTTTTCTCTCCCTCCTCATCTCCTACTCTTTCTCCTCTTCTTATTATTTATTTTGCGGCTCTTTTGCTCTTCGTTTCTTTTCTTCCGATTCGTCCTTAAGGGCCTTTGTCTCTTCTTTTTTCTTTCGAAGATGAACAGTCATGTTTTGATTGACCGTGTCCGTGTGATTCCAGTCACTCCAGGAAGTCCAAAGCACTTGTGTTTGGTTTAAAATTTAAATGTTTTTTCTAATTCCTTTTCCAAATCTCAACTTTAGTTTGTCTTGCTTAATTTTTATATTAATTGCTTCTTCATTGTTATTTTTGATTCCTTTTAGCCATTTACATTATTTTGTATCATTTATATTATATTTTAACCATCAAGGAAAAATAAACATAAAGTATAAAGTGATGAATGTGAATTGACTTTGTCTTGCAAATGTTGCACCTGTTGAAAATAAAAATGTTATTAGTTTTAACAATGTCATTTTCATAATGATGATTGACATTCTTATGACATTGTCATTGACATTCTGATGACATTGTCATTGACATTGTTGTTATTTTAATGTCATTTTTATAACATTGACACCATTACTATACGAAATTGTGACATTTTTTTTATCATTTTGACGTTTTAAATGTAATAATGTATTATAATATATTATAATATCAGGAAAAATGAAACAATGTCAAATAATGACAATTACAATGTCAACATCAACACTTGTACAAAATGACATTGCAAAAATGACAATGTCAAAGATTTAAAAAATGATATTGTGATAATGACAATGTCAATTTCAATGCTGCAAAAACAACATTGTGATGACATTGTCGAGAAGTAACATTGTTTTCGATGATGCCATTGAGATATGTGACAATGTCATATTATTTTAAAAAAATCAATGTTGGAAACTATCAAAATGTCATAAAATTATTGCAAATGTAATTTTCTGTAAAACAATGTCACTACTTGATTATGTTAACATCACAATGTAACATAACAGTGTCATGATATAACATTATCATCAACGAAAACACAGTCGCATTGTCGGATAATTTTGCAATGATATCAACATTGTCACACTATTCATATGTTGATAAATGATATCAACAAACTGAAAGCAAAGAAATAAGGTATGTATTTTATTGTCATTGACATTTTTATGACATTGTCATTGACATATTTATGACATTGTCATTGACATTGTTATGATATTGTCATAGACATTCTTATGACATTGTCATTGATATTGTTTTTTATTTACATTCTTATAACACATTCATTGATATTCTTATGACATTGTCATTGACATTATTTTTTCTTGACATTCTATATGTCAATGACAGTCATTGACTTTGTTATGTTATTGTCATTGTAATGCCATTGACATTGCTACGACATTGACATTGTTAAGACAATACATTCTGATGATTTTCACTTTATTTTGATAATATTTAAAGTATAGTAACATACATAGTGTCATTATCTTATTATTAATAATTTTTTCTCAAAAAATAATAACTAAATAACTTCCAGAAACTAACTTAAATACGTACGGAGTAGTATATATTTGCAAAATAAAAAAAAAGCAAAAACAACAACGTACAAAGAGGTACTGCAGGGCATAGAAGAAATCCGAAAATTTAGAAACAGGGGACACTTGCATCGGGCAAAGAAGAAAAAGGAAAAGGAAGAAGAAGAGGAATCTTGTCGGCGACCACTCGACGACCACCAGCGGCAGAGCAGCGGTAAAGCAGCGGCGGTAGAGCGGCAGTAACTTGCACCGGCGACCACCAGCGCAGAGCAACAATGGATGCAGTGGCAGTGACATGTGCCTGACGAGAATGATATAAATTCGGTAATCAAAGATCTGAAATTCTGAATATCATTGATGGCGAGGCATGAATGGATGTGTTCGGCAACATCATATGCGGACCGCGGCATCTCAAGGGTATTTTTGTCCCTACGTCTAAAAGTAGTCCTATTTAGGTTTTAAAAACTATGAATTCCTATTTACTTTCCCAACCTTTTTTTAGTCCTATTTAAGTCTATGTCTCTACTTTTATTCACATGAATCAATTGGAATGACGCAGTTGAATTATTTAAATTTAAATTAAAAATGATATAATGATTTAAAACAATCAAGTGATTGGTAGATATGATACCCTAATTTTTAAATGGATACCAGAGTTGTCACTTTTTTAAATGGGTATCGAAATTGTCAACAATGAATATTTGTGTCTTTATATGAAAAAAGTGAAAGATCCCAAACGAGTAGATATTAGACCATTTGTAGTGGTTAAAGATTAGGAGTCAAAAAATAAAAAATGAAACTTTTAGACTCTTAAATGAGTGTAGTGGAGAATTAAAAGGGAGAGTAAAAGTGGGAAGGGGAGCTATTAAAAATAGAGGGTTGGGTTGATAAAGTAAAAGAAAAAGAAAAAGAAAACAAAGAAGATGAAGCTGCCCAAGAAAAAGCTGCCGGTCATGCGTTGTTCTTGGTTCCGGTGACGTCATGCCAATGTCGATAAAACCTCAATTAATTTTAAAATATATTAAAATTCATAAAATTAATTGTTGAAAAAAATATATTAAAATTCATAAAATTTTGTGATCTTTCATATAACACCAATATGTAATATATAAAATGAAAAAAAAAAATCTTAAGTTTTAATTGTTGAAGTTTTTTTCAATCTAAAAAAGAGTTTTTGCCATTTTTAGTCCCTCGACTATTGTATCAGTGACACTTTTGGTAATTCACTTTTAATTTTTACATTTTTAGTACTCGACTATAGTGCGAGAGACACTTTTGGTATCCGACTTTAAAAATTTTCGTATTTAGTCCTTCAACTTTTGTAAAAGTGACACTTTTGGTCCTTCAACTATTGCAATAGTGACATTTTTAGTCCTTCATTTATTGTGTCAAAATCATAGTAGAAGGACTAAAATTGTCAATTTGATAATACTCAAAGGACTAAATGTGGGAAAATTGAAAGTCAGGGACTAAAAGTGTCTCTCGCACAATAGTCGAGGACTAAAAATGGAAAAATTAAAAGTCGAGTACCAAAAGTGTCACTGACCCAATAGTTGGGGGATCAAAAGTGGCAAAAACTCATCTAAAAAATGATGAAACACAAAATTTTAATTCATGAAATCCTCACAAATAATTGAATATTTTATAATCGAACTTTACTTGAACTAAGTTCATTTTTGTTAATCGAAAACATTAAAAATAAATTAATGAAATTTATTTATTTTAATATCGAAATGTGTATTTTTTATTTCACAAATATTTAGGAAAAATATTAAACGGAAAACATTACTTATAATAAATTAATTAATGTTTTACTAAATTGATATGTAAAAAAATATATTGAGTGTATTTTATTGAAGGTATACGGATGCAGGAAAAACAGTATCTGGAGAATCTAAATATTGTTTTGGTACGGATGGAGTCCAATTTGGACTCCTAACCCCTACAAATGGTCTTAAGTAGGACTCCGTAATACTCCAAATTTTTTGAACATTTCTCATTTCTGTAGGTGAGCAAACTGTACATTTCTTCTACACTCTTCTGAACGCCTCCAGACTGCAGGAAGATGGCCGCCGCCGCTCCGCCGCCTCCACCCAGCTCAGCCCCCGACGTCATCAAGGAGGAGCTGCTACCAACGGGCTATCAAATGTTCACCCGCATCCGTCTCGCCACCGCAGCCGATGTCCCCCACATACACAAGCTCATCCACCAGATGGCCGTCTTCGAGCGCCTCACCCACCTCTTCTCCGCCACCGAGGCGTCTCTCTCCTCCACCCTCTTCCCCGCCTTTAATCCTCCGCCGCCGTTCACCTCTTTCACCGTCTTCATCCTCGAAGTATCGCCCTATCCGTTTCCTCCCGGCGCCACTGGAAACACTCCCTATTTTTCCCCAATCCACAAAACCCTAACCCTGGACCTCCCAATCAGTGACCCGGATGCCCAAATTTTCGGGTCGCAAGACCTGACCGACGTAACCGTTGCGGGATTCACCCTGTTTTTTCCGAACTATTCGACATTCTTGGCAAAACCTGGATTCTACATCGAGGATATATTTGTCCGGGATGCCTACCGGAGGAAAGGGCTCGGGAAGATGCTTCTGTCGGCCGTGGCAGCTCAGGCGGCTAAGATGGGGTATGGGAGAGTTGAATGGGTGGTGCTGGATTGGAATGTGAATGCTATAAATTTCTATGAGCAGATGGGGGCCGAGGTGCACAAAGAGTGGCGCATTTGCAGGCTTTCCGGCGAGGCTCTCCAGTCGTACGCTCCATGATCTCATCTTTCTCTTCTCTATGACTTTTTGACAAATCACATTCTGTTTCTCTCCCAGTGTGTTATGTGTTCATCTTTGTTCAATTCAATAGTGACTCACTTGATGTGGATATGAAGGAGCTGAATTTGTCTTTGAAGTTTCTTTCCCCACTTAAAGAAACCTAAGTATGGCTGATGAATTGAGGATGCATTCTGTCTGTGCATATTTGGCTTTCTTGATTTTGATGGGGTCTTATTATAATTATTGTGAAAATCCAAAACCAAACAAAAATTTCTTGCCTTTTCTCTATATCAATGTTTGAACAGAAAATGGATGCACAAGCATGCTTTTTAAGAGTGATCTAGCAAACCTGGCAAGTCATCTGCTCATATATGAATTCTAGGGAGTAAGTTTTTTTTATCAAGTGAAATTCTTAATTCCTTGTGTAACATAATCTTTTCTGAAAGATTACCATCAGTTTTAATTTAATGTCAATTGAAGCTATACATTCACACATAAGAACGCCACTAGTTTCATAGTTAAAGCAAGATTTGGACTGGTTTTTGTATTCGGTTGGTAAAGGGGAAGCATAACAAATTGAAAAAATGTCACAATAACACCTCCATTAAAACCAATTCATTAGTTTTCACATCACGGTCATTTTTCGGATATTAGCAAAACATGACATTTTGCTTTAAAAAGGATAGAACATAATTTTTTATAGAGCTAGGTGACTCAAAGTTTATTTCATTCTCTACCTCATTATGAATTTACATCTACATCTTGAATGTAAAATGATACTTTCATATGGATTGTGGTGGGTTTTTTAATCCCTGGACTGCTAAAAAATATATAGATTTCATATGAATGGTGTTAATCAATTTTATGGAGAACAAGTTTTGGGAACCATAGATTTGAATAAATCAAAATATATCAATTCTGTTGATTTGCATAAATCTTTGATTTCATATAAATGATGTTTATCAATTTTATGAAGAACATGGGTATTAAGTAACATTCATAAAGTTAAACACAGTAAGAGGTTAACTACATCATGATATAGTATGATATGAAACAATTAAATAAGTCATCATCATCGTAACCCTTGTGCCGCAAAGGCTCTCACCTACGGTGAGCTAGGGGGGTTGGATGTACGCGCTCTTACCTCTATACTAAAGCACAAGGAGATTATTTTTGGATGTTTTATAGTGAAAACGCGACGAAAATTGCATGGACTAACTGTTGCTTTATAACAATGAAGCGCAAACAGTTTAGTGAGTCATTTTGATTTATTTCATCATAACAATGAAGCGTAGACAGTAAATGACACAGAAGTTTAAAAGAATAAATGAGGTCTAAGCATCAAATTTACTTTTCTTAAATTGAAAACTCAATATTGATAGAATAATCAACAAATTCAGTTTTATGATTATTATTACACTACACAAGTCACTGAATAAAAATAATTACTGTTACACAATTGTTACATTCATTGCTACATGCAATATAAGCATAGGTGCATTAGTGCTTTTCTTCATACTAAAGTAAATGTTTTTTCTAATTTTTAGTTTGTTGAAAATTTGATTTCATATTTTTGTGTTTAGCGATTTAACGGTGAAACACGGTAATGATTACCTATATTTTGATTTCATAACGATTAACCGGCAACCTACAAGAATTGCACCGGTGTAAAACTTTCAGTTCTTGTATGGGTTTTTCAAAAAAAGTCTAAAACCATAGCGATATTAGATTAACGATTCTTTTAATGGTTCCTAATTTTCTTTCGAAGATCTGAATCGATATTGTTCTAACATTTTCTTTGTAAGATGATACATAAAAAATCACTTTTTAGGTTTTATTTAAGTTTATCTTGTGTGTTGAGGTTAAGTCTCGCAGATTCGAAAGTCCAACACGAACTTTGAATATATCAGGAATGGATCAGAATCAAAGTGTATAACAAAATATAAAAGATGAATCAACGAATGCTCAAAAGCCCACTTGTATTAATTAACTTATTTGATTACAAGGAAACTTCTCGATCGTTACGCCGGAACTGTGCTTTAATACAAGAAACGAGAGTAATAATGCTATTCTAGAGCTTGAGTATCAAAATGCTCACCCTTACAATGATATTAAACCTTCCATTTATACTAATGGAGAGCATGGACTGTTCTATGCTGATTGGCCGTTGTGCCACCGACTTGATCATCCATGCTTCCACTTGATGATGTTACAATCTGGCATTAAATGCACCTGGCCACTTGCTGGTTATCCGTTGCTCGAACAGGATGCTGGACCATGCGGAAGACGCTGTCAAATTGGCCCAAGTATGATGTATGATCCGAACTTCGTTCGGTATTTCTGCTTTCTGGACCGGTCTCTACTTGGACCGAACCTCGTTCGGAATGGATTCTTCACTGGGCCTACTCATCATAGGGTAGCGGACTCGTTGTTTGGGCTGGATATACTGGGCCTTTTTAATCCGGGTATTGGGCCTCCGGGTCAATATCCCAACACAAGTCCCCCACTTCCGATGTCTCGAATGACAATGAGTGCATTAGGAAGTATAAACACCAATGTTGCAACTGCCGAATAGCGATCGGGGTACAGAAGTGGTTAGTTTCCCATACTGTGATTTGACGGCTGTCGTTTTAGTTTCCCCATATTCGTCATGTTTGTTGATCTTTGCTCTTCCATGTGACACGTATTATTTCAAATAATCTCAGTGACGTGTCTCTATTTGATTGGTTTTTGATACGGCGTCTGTAAGGCTATAAATTAGCCTTTAACTTCTCAAATCTGGGTTTCGAATTTTCAATCTTATTTGTGCTTTTACTCTGCCTCTTCTTTTCAAATCTTTCAAATTTTTCGTGCCCAGGTACTTCTCATTCCTTTGAATCTTTCTCTCCTTTGGTTCGATCGTTATGAATTCTCAACGGTGTTCCGATTCGGAAATGGCTTCCCAAGTGGAAGACCGTGATGTGGAGATTATCACCGTCCCTTTTGATGAGGGCTCCAAGGTGGCGACGACGAAGATTAGGGCGGAGACGGATGATTCCTCCGGCAATTCTTCTTCCTCCAGTGAAGATTCCGATGACACCAAGTCTGAAGATGAACTGACTTCCATGGCGGCCGAACGTCCCAAGGATTTCCCCCGTCATACGCTTGACCTAAGATTGATTAGGGAGAGGCGGCAAAAACTGACTTCCCATTATAGGGCCAAAATTCCGGCCCTAATCCCAGATCCAGTGAACTTCCGATTGCGAGCTGAGTTTCACCCAATGCGCCATACCCCTGGGATGGTTGTAGTCCATTTTGATTCAATTAGGGCCGGACTTAGGTTTCCGCTATATTCTTTTTTCGTTTCATTTTTTAATTTCTACGAAATTGTACCGGCCCAAATCATGTCGAACTCCTACCGGGCAATGGCGGGCTTTATTTGCCGTTGTAAAGATGCTGGTGCCCGACCGACCCTAGATTTATTTCACCAATTTTTTAAGGTAGCCCCTCAACAAACACACGGCTATTTGGCCACTAGTGCCCGAACGGGACATATCCTGTTTAAGGGCAATCCGACTTCAATCAAGGGGTGGACAGATCGGTTCTTCTTTGTGTCTGTCCCGGACGGCCTGATTCCCCGCAAATGGAATGCCTTCCCCCGCAAATCTCCCGATCCAGTCCTTAATGAGGAAATTTACAAGGATGTGCTCGCTGTGGAGAAAGACAAATGTGTAGATATCATGAGTTACCTGACTCCCGATCGGCTAATCGAAGCCGGGATAGGTACTGCCCGTTCTCTTGGGTTTACTTGTTTTGAGAATTCAAGTGGCATGGTCCGGGCGGTCCTTCCCGTGCGAGAAACGTTCTCTTCTTTTTTGTTTCCCACGTGCTAAGGTCCGCTCGGTACTAACATTTTCCTTTGTTATTTTTTAGCTCTCAATCCAGACGCACCTATGGACAATAGTAGAGTTCTTGCAGCTGGTGGGGTCGGCAAACGGAAGAAAGCCAGGAAGAACCCCCAACCCACTCCTTCCACTATTACCGCTCAGGATGCCGAGTCTTCTCAACCCGTTCCAGAGCCACAGCCACTGCAACAGGTCCATCAGGACCAATTTGATGCCATGCTGGTCGACGATCGGTTCGGTTCTCATCAGATGCATCAATTCCCTGAGCACTTTCAGGCTGCTCAGGAGACTGGTCAGGGTACGGGTGATATGCATACCGTCCATCTATCTGGCCAGGTCGATCGGATCTCACTGGCGGATCTGGTTCATGAAGTTGCAGAGAAAGGTGGATGCTCGGCAAGTCAGATTTGGTCTACCTCCGCTTTTTTCAACAATTTCACTGTTCCCAAGCTGTCGGTCGAGCAATCTGAGGAATGCTTGGCCTTAGCAGCCCCGAAGGTACTTTACTTTTTCCCTATAGTTTTCTCATAGTTTAAATTCTGTTTCACACCATCTCATTCCTCGAACGACATTCTGCAGGTTGAGCTTTACAGTTTGCAACTGAAAGAGTCTCGACTGGCTAAAGAGCGGGACCTGATCGTCGCTCAGACTTCTGCGGAGCAGAATGCGGCTGCTGCCTTTGCCACTTTGGAGACCAAACGGAAGGCCTCCGCGGAGGAGAAGAGACGCCTTGAGTCAGAGCTTGGTGAACTCAGGGTTCAGCTCGGGGCCTTCCAAGCCAAAGTTCATGCTGCTGAAGCTGCTTTGGTGAAGTTCGAAGAGAGCGCTCCCCGTATCCTGGACGGCCCTGCTCTGAGGTGAAGGTTGATCTGTCCGCCGTCCGGGAAGCATTCAAAGGGTCTGAGGAGTTTGCTGCCCTGAAGAAAGATTATGCGCAGCAGGAACTTCCGTCCACCTTCAGTGCTTATCTCGAACGATTCTCCACGGGTGATGTCCGCCGCAGCGAGGGGGTTAAATTGCTCGATCAGGATCCAAGGGGCAAGAAATTCAATGACTCCCTGGCCCGATCTCTTTATATCATGGGCTGCCAGCATATCATGGCCCCATTTGTTGCTAAACTGCCAGAAATGCTAGAGAGGCTGGTCGAGCTATCTGATCTTCCCCAGGCGTCCATTGTTGAAGCCCAATATGAGAAATATCAACGAGATTGCAACGGGCTGCTGATCCTGAAGCGGGGAGAGAGCCTGATCCCCCCACTGATTCAGACGAGGAGGAAGGTGATGAAGAAGACACTAGGGAGGGCCAGTAGATTTAGAATTTTGTTTCTTATCAATTGTAATCCCTTCCCCCCTTCTCCTTTTTTGAAATCCATTATTGTATTTTCCGGCCGATAGAGCCGATGAATACACATCTTTTTTGCACAAAGCTTTTCATATTGCCTTTCTTGATTTATTGCTTACCATTCGGGATTCGGTACATTTTTTAGGACTTAGCAGTTTTTTCTGGTCTCAGATGGTTCCGACAATTTACCAGGATTTGGCCTTCCTCTTGTATCGATAGCCATTCGGGCTTCAGATAATTTTGTAGGACTTAGTCGTTTTTTCTAGCCTCAGATGGTTCCGACAATTTACCAGGATTTGGCTTTCCTCTTGTATCGATAGCCATTCGGGCTTCAGATAATTTTGTAGGACTTAGTCGTTTAGTGAATCTGTTGTTTATGATATCCTCATCTATCCCACATAACTGTAAATAGAAATCATGTTCGGTTTATCTTGTTGCCCTTATCTTTCGATTTCGTCCGAATCCCGAATTTTCCCCATCCCGCCGATCTTTATCTGTTGTTCTTCAAATATCACCCGTTCGGGGTCTCCAAGGATATTTGCTTCAAATTTATGGTTTATGCCGACTTTGGTTCGGGGAACGTGCTAAAATATCATAAATGTACCATAATTTCGTACAGCCATATTTCACCACGTGTCATTCATGGCTTAGGGTTTTGGGCGACATCTTTGCTTATAAGTAGAGGTGCTTCTTTTCCATTTCTTCTGTTGCTTCCTTAATTTTTCTCTCGTGTATCTCTAAGCTTTCTCTCTCTAGAATTCTCAGGATTCCTCAAGTGGTTTTATGTATTTTCCTTCTAACTCAGAATCTGAGGAAATGCCGCTTATTCGTGTGGGAAAAACTTCTGCTGTAAACAAGGCCGAAGGCTCTTCTTCCCAAGTACCTAATTCCACTAATCCTCTCATAGGAAAAGATGCCGAACAGCCTCGTGATGACGGATGCCTTTCGGGAGATGATGTACAGATCTATAACAAGGGAATGCCCGATCGGCCACCTCGCATTGTCCTGCACTTCAACCGTATTCGCAAACAGAAACAACGCCTTCCTGAAGATGCCGAACGGCAACTTTGCCAACTATTGCCTCCGCCTAGAGAATTTTATGCTGGATTTATCAGGCATCCAATGAGGCACCGACCGGGGCACGTGCTAGTGCATCTTGATGCATTGATTGTCGGGCTTCGCTTCCCTCTTCATCCATTTGTTGTGGAGTTCCTGCGTCGGGTCTCCGTACTTCCCGCTCAGTTCGTACCCAGCACCTACCGCATTCTGACTAGCTTTATAATCCGATGTCAGGAATTGAGGATCGCTCCAAGTGTTGATTTATTCCTACACCATTACTGCTATCAGCCTTATTGGACGACTGGGTACCTGAAGCTGGTAGCCCGAGCTGATCGTCAGTTATTTACAGATAATCCTACTCCACCGGCTGACTGGGAGGAGCGATTTCTATTCGCTCGTATAGGTAATTCTCTCTCATTTCCTGATCGGTGGAACGCTTACCCATTCGGGATTCTCAGCCCAGAATAGATGTTGTTCTACGCTCCCAAACCGAATCTCTACGTATGGGAGGAACTCGGAGTCTTCGGGGTTTTATTACCCCTTCAAATATGCTATCTGCTGGGATTGGTAAGTGTAACAGGGTTTTAACCCGATCGTTCTCTTTTTAATTTAGTTTCTTATCTCTTATTCCTTTTGTTGTAGGTGTGATATCCCCTATACGCGTTCGGCGTTCCATATCTGCCGCTACTCTGACAGCTTCCTCCGGTAAAGGCAAGGAGAAGGTGATTGTTGATCATGCCTCTTCTGAGCAAACCCGGAAGAAACGTAGAGGGAATGACGACAGCATACTGATCCCGGTCGATCATGTGGTTGATTTGACTGGCCCGGAGGCTGAGCCAAAAAGATCTGTGCCTACCAAACCGAAAACTCCGGTTCTTTCTGACATGCCGGCCGACGATCAGATGTTCGCTGAGTTTTCAAACATGGGGCCTAGAGCAGAAGGAAGGTACCTGTTCGGGCTAATGCCATCATCCATGTGGTGCAGTACTTCCCTGAAGGTTCCCCTTAGTTTCACAAACCTAACTCACTGGTCTGATCTACTTGAAGCAGGTCATCAAGAGGCACTCAAGGTACACTTCATTTTGATTCATATTTTCCTACTCTTTATTTGTTCATCTCATCTGACTTTGTTTGCTACTCGACTTCAGGCCGGTGTATATTATCACAAGGCTTTCCTGGCGGCCGAAAAGGAAATGAAACTCCTGGCCAGCGATCGGGACGATAGCCAGGTCCTCCTTTCCGCCGCTCAGAAATTAGCTGCAGATCTGCAAGAACGCGCCAATGAAGGCGAGAAGGCGAAGGCTGCTCTGGCTGCGATGAAAGAGAGGACCTGACGTCGTGATCGGGAAATTAAAAAACTCCGGGCCAAGGTGCGGGCTGCTGAATCTGTCGGGGTAAAATTTAATAAGGTCAATGGTGACAATCTTCCCGAGTTTTATACCGCCAACATTTCCCAGATTGGCAATCAAGCAATAGTTGACTACCAACGGGGTAAAGGGCTGAATGTCGCCCTGGAGAATACGGCTCGGCAATTCATGGGACCTCATCTTGGCCAATTTTTGCGTGAAAGCGAAGATCCGTTAAGGCAGGCATCGATCTCCTAGATAGCACGCCCGAAGGGAAATCTTTTCTAGATGTGCTGACCGAGAAGACTGTGAAACAAAGTCAGGATCTGCTTTTGGACAGGAACCTTGATCTGATCCTGGAGCATTTCCCTAAGCCATTCGATCCTGATGAGTTGGGATTTGATGATCTGTTCGGGAATACCTATGATCGGGTTATGGAGAAGAGAAAAGAAGCAGTGCCTTATGATGCAGCGCAGGCAGGGAGCTCCCAACCTTTATCTTCCTCGAACGGCGATCCTTCAGCAGCGTAGCCTTGTATATTTATTTTTCGCCTTTTCTTCTTTTTCTTTTGTATCTTCCGGTTAGTAGTGCCGAAGAATAAACTGGATACTTTCCTTTAAGAGTGTTGAAGTATTGCTCTTCTTTTTTTCTGATTTTTGTCATTTCTCTCGTTCATAATAATTTCTGTGTTGCCGAACATCACTCGGCTTATTTATCTCCATATTTCTGACATTGTTTCCAAGCCGTTTTGATCCCTCTGTTCGGTCGTAAGGCCAGGGTCAAATTCTTTTAGCTGAAATAATGTCTTCCTCCAAACCGTTAAGACGTTCGTCATTCGGTCATCTTTCTGAAAGTTCAGATTCTCCGGACGATAATCCATGTTACCGAACGTCGCTCGCTTTGACAATACTTGTTCTGACACCATTCCCAAGCCGGTTTTGATCCCTTTATCGTTCGTGATCCACGGGGTCAAAAAATCTTTTAGTTGAGGTGATTCCCTCCAAGCCATTTTGATCGTGATCACAAGGTCAAATTTTTAGCTGAGATGACGGCTCCCTCCAAGCTGTTAACCTGTTCGTCATTCGGTCATCCGGAATGATCCCACGTGTTAACAAGCTGAGGTGAGACTCTCTCTCTTCCAAACCCATAATTCCGATGCATTCCGAACAATTCTCTCTGGTTCGTATCATCCATATTAGGGGTCTGAGGTAACCCTTTTCAAACTGTAAGCAAGGTCACCGGATCGGGTTATTCCTTACTTATAGCTAAAAGGGCGACTCGCTTCCAAATCAAGTTAATGACTGAGACGAGATTTTTCAAAACCATAGTTCCAATTCCCCGGACGACAATCCGTAGTTTACCCGAACGTCGCTCGGTTAGTCCATACTTATAGTCTTGACACCATCTCCAAGCCGTTTTGATCCCTTTGTCCGGTCGTAATTACAGAGTCAAATTCTGTTAGCTGAGTTGATGGCTCAGCTCCCTCCAAACTGTTAACTCGTTCCTCATTCGGTCATCCGGAATGATTCTGCGTGTTAAAAGCTGAGGTGAGATTCCCTGACATCAAACTCCAAGCCGTTTTGATCCCTTTAACAATTCGTAATTACAGGGTCAAATTCTGTTAGCTGAGATAATGGCTCCCTCAAAACTGTTAACATGTTCCTCATTTGGTTGTCCGGAACGATTTCCATGTTAACTGCTGAGATGAGACTCTCTGAGTGTCAAACTCCAAGCCGTTTTGATCTCTCTTATGATGGCAGGGTCAAATTCTGTTAGCTGAGAATGACTTTCCTTCCATGTTGTTAACCCATTCGTCATTCGGTCATCCGGAATGACTGCGTGTTAACCATGGGCTGAGATTTTCTGAGCATCGATTCTCCAAGCCGTTTTGATCCCTTTATCCGTTCGTAAGTCTAGGGTCAAATTCTTTTAACTGAGAATGATGACCCTCTCCAAACTATTAATCCGTTCGTCGTTCGTTCCTCCGGAATGACCACAAATCAAAGTTGAGATGAGCGCTTTCTGGAAGTTATGTCTCCTTCTATATTTTTTTTCGGTGGTGGCAACAGCCGTTTTTATTGATAAAACTTTCTTAAATGTTCCACATTCCATGTGTCTGCCGGTCGACCTTCGGTACATTGTAGGCCAAACGTTCCTGAAGCATACTTCTTGCATATTTGATACGGACCTTCCCAATTTTGTGTCATTTTTCCGCCTTCGAGAGGTTTGCTTTTTTCTAGCTTCCTTAGGACCAGGTCCTCTACTTCGATTGAACGAATTTTAACTTGTTTGTCAAAGTATCTTCTCGTGGCCCTGTGATATTCCTCCATTCGTGCAGCTCCTAGATCTCTTTTTTCTTCTATGAAGTGCAATTCGGCCCGTAGGTTGTCCTCATTCCGCTCTGGGCTATAATGCACCGTTCGGTGTGTAGGAACTAGGACCTCTGTTGGTACTTTGACCTGGAAGCCATAAGCAAGGGCAAATGGAGTTTCTCCTGTGGCCGTTCGGGGCGTGGTCTTGTTAGTCCATAGGATATAATTTAACTGATCCGACCATGATGAGGAGTATTCTTCAAGCTTCTTTTTCATGGCGTCCATGATGGTACGGTTCATATTCTCTACTTGGCCATTCGCCTGGGGGGTATGCCACGGATGCTCTGGAATGCTTGATTCCCCATTTGATAAGGTAGTTCTCAAAATTTCGGCTCACGAATTGCCTTCCATTATCTGTTATAATCTGTTCATGGAGTCCGAAACGACAAATGATATTCTTCTAGACAAACTTTTTACATTTGACATCTGTGATGCTAGCTAGTGGCTCGGCCTTCACCCATTTGGTGAAATAATCTATCCCAATAATGATGTACTTGTTATTTCCAGGGGCAGCAGGTAGGGGACTTAGCAGGTCGATCCCCCACCTAGCGAATGGGAGGGCCACCGTCATTGGAATGTAGAAAGTGGCTGGCCGTCCGGGGACCGGCGCGTATAGCTGGCATACTTTACACTTTCTAGTATGCGCAAAGCAGTCTTGTTGGATGGTTGGCCAATAATACCCTTGCAGGATGATTTTTCTGACCAGTGTCTTGGGCCCTTGGTGGTTTGAGCAGATGCCTTCATGAATTTCTTCCATTACCGCCGTCGCTAGATCGGGTGGAAGGCATTTCAAATATGGCCCCCAAACGTCTTTTTGTACAACTGTCCGTCCACCAGCTCGAACATGGAATCCCTCCTCTGAATGCACTTTATCTGATAAGCAGGATTTTTATCCTGTGGGAGGGTTCCGTCTTTTAGGTAGTTGGTCATATCTATGACCCAACTGGGGACGGCATAAGATATGGCCTCGATCTGGAGCACCATGATTGCTGGGGTTGCCAAGGTTTCCCGATGGGCAAACTGTTGGATATGAGCTGGAATCTCCTGTGCCCGATCGTCGAGCGCTGCATTTTCCAATTTGGATAAGATGTCCGCTTCGGTATTTTCTATTCTGGATATTTGGTCGAGCACCACCTGTTCAAATTTTTATATATGCTCCTCGACTAGCTCTTTGTAAGCCTTCATTCTTTCCTCTTTAGCCTCAGTTGTGCCATTTACCTGGTTGACCACCAATTGACTATCCGACCGGACTTTTAACCGATCGGCGCCCAGGGTCTTCGCATATTTTAAACTTGCAATAAGGGCCTCATACTCGACCTCATTGTTGGTTACTTTGAAGTCAAAATGAATGGAGTAATATGCTTTGAACCCTTCGGGCGATGTGATCACAGCTCCGGCTCCACAACCTTTGGCACTAGATGCACCATCCACATACATCTCTCACCGGTTATCCAGCACATTGTTCTCTGAATCTATTTCCGAAGGCCGAGCGGTACATTCTGCAATGAAATCCGCCAGGGCCTGCCCTTTGATAATAGGTCGAGGCCTGAAATCCACCTCATATTGCCCGATCAGGAGACTCCACTTTGTAATGCGCCCATTTGCCATTGGGTTTCTCAAGATGGTGGCGAGTGGCTGAGTAGTATACACAGTACAGTTACCAGATGGGTTTGGAAATATGGTGCCAGACGTTTAATAGCAGCTATCAGGTCCAGTACTGTTTTTTCCAGTAGGGTGTACCTGGTTTCCGGCCCGTTCAAAGCCTTGCTCACAAAATAGATCGGCCGCTGGATGTCATCCTCTTCTTTCAATAATACCGTGCTCACGGCCAGGTCAGCTACGCAAGGTACATATACAGGTTTTCCCCTGGATCGGGTTTTGTCAAGACCAGAGGAGAAGATAGGTATGCCTTGAAATCTTCAAAGGCCGTTTGACATTCGGCGATCCATTCAAAGGGGTTGGCTTTTTTCATGATCTGGAAGAACGAAATAGCTCGATCGGCTAGGTTGGATAGGAATCTGCTCAGAGCTGCTAACCAGCCGGTCAATCTCTGCACCTCCTTGAGGTTTCTAGGAGCTTCCATATCCACAATTGCCTTTACCTTTTCAGGATTAGGCTCAATCCCCTTCTCGCTCATCATGTATCCCAAAAACTTGCCCCCTCTCACAGCAAATGCACATTTTTTGGGATTCAGCTTCATGTTTGCTTTCTGCATTTTCCCGAACACCTTTTCTATGTCCAGGATATGATTCTCCTTCTTCCGGCTCTTGACCAGAATATCATCAACATAAGCCTCCATCGTGACTCCCAACACCTCTTTGAAGAGCACCCCGATCATATTTTGAAAAGTAGTCATTGCGTTTTTTAACCCGAATGACATGACAATATAGCAAAACACACCATCCGAAGTAACGAACGTTGTTTTCTCTGCATCGTCTGGGTGCATGAAAATCTGATGATATCCCCGGAATGCATCCATGAAGCTCAACAATTCACACACGGGCGTTTCATCCATTAACAGATCGATCCTCGGCACCAGATAAGGGTCCGTGGGACAAGCTGTATTCAGATCCGAGTAATCCACGCACATCCTCCAAGTCGATTGTTTTGGGGCTAGGACCACATTGGATAGTCATTCGACATGGATTACCGGACGGATGTGTTTTATTCTCAGCAAGGTGGCCATTTCCTGCTTTGTGAAATCCCGCTGTTCGGTCGCTTGGTATCGTTTCTTTTGTTGGACCGGTTTTGCGTCAGGCCGAACGGCAAGCTTGTGACAGATTATCTCTGGGTCAATGCCCGACATATCTTCCGGCCCTCAGGCGAATAATACCTGAAACGTTTTTAGGACGGCAATCACGCCATCCCGAACGTCAGCCTCCAGATCCACCCCGATAGCTACCTTTCGGTTCGGGGGAGAGTCCAGGTCAATTTGCTCGAGGAGAGTGGCAGGTTCTGGATGCGCCTCGAACTCCGTTCGGTGGGTTTCCACCTCAATACTGTTAACCCGCATTCCACGGGTATTCATCTGCTTCAGGGCCTCTCGATAGCACGTTCGGGCTGTCGCCGGATCAGTTCTGGCCAACCCCAACCCCAGTGTCCGTGGGGAATTTGATGCACGAGTGGCGGACAGAGGCTATTGCCTCCAGATCTTCCAATCCCGGTCGGCCCAAGATGGCGTTATGGGCACATTTTATGTCCACCACCATGAACGTCATTCGGACTGATGCCTTGTGCGTTTCGTCCCCAATTTCAACTAACAATTGAACGGTCCCCTCAGCCTCAATACAGTTACCGATGAAGCTTGCCAGTGAGGTTCTTAGGTGGGTCAGTTGACTTCTCTGTAGGCCCATTTTCTCAAACGATTGTAGATACAATACGTTCACACTGCTCCCCGTATCGATCAGTACCCGGCGAATCAAAGCATTGTCAGTGCACATGTTCACCACCAATTCATCCCTGTGCGGACTTGGCGAGTTAGGTAAATCAGCCGGCCCAAATGTGATTGGGTCCGTCCTTCCTTTCTTCTGGGGGGGAGTGGAGATGGATCCTACATAAAGACTTCACTCGAACCTTTTCCGTTCGGCGTTCGAATCCCCTGTTTTCGGGGCCTCCCGAGCCCCCTGGTTCGTCTCTGGGAGGAATATATACGTCATTCTGGGGCTGGGCATCACGTTGGGCATCCCGTCGCCAGCAGTTGGGTCTCCTGACCGGCTTTAAAGTGCCTACCGCATTCGGGTCTTTACTTACGTACTTGCCCAGATGACCCCGCCGGATCAAGTCCTCAATTGCTGTTTGTAGTGCCCTACAAGCATTGGTGGCGTGACCTTTCCTGTTATGATATTTACAAAAAGCAGATTCATCTGCTCCCATATAATTTGAAGAATCAGTCGGAAGGAGAATGTTGTCCTTCTCGTTCTGATAAATGGTTGCCACAGACAGGACCGGGGGAGTAAATTGCCCTTGCTTAGGAGGGAGAGCGGCCGTTGGGGTAGGACCCAGCCGATCGGCCAGCTTGATTGGGGCGGAAGGCGCAGCGACCTTGTCCCTGATCATAATCTCTTCCTCCAGGGCAGCATGCTTGCGGGCTCTGTCTAACACCTCGGCATACGCCGTACCCGGATTCTTCTTCAAATCCTTGTATAATTCTCCCGTTCGGAGAGCGTTAGTGAATATGGTGATGGCGGTGTCATCCGTCATGTTTCCGACCGTCAGAGTTTCATCCCTCCATCTTTTCAAGAATTGATTGAGGGTTTCCTTGGAGTTCTGCTTTACGCTAGTCAGGTAGCTGAAATGCCGCTTTGGGTTGGCACTGGAAGCAAATTGGGCCAAGAACAACGTTGAAGTTCGGCAAAGCAGCCGATCGACCCAGGTTGCAGGGTCCCGAACCATTCTTGAGCGGGTCCTCTGAGCGTACTGAAGAACAATCGGCAGATGGCAGCCTCGGGAGCTCCTAGTAGCATGAGCCCTCCTTGATAACTCCTTAAATGGACCTGGGGATCGCCTACCCCATCATATATTTGACCGGTCGGTCGTTTGGCACCCCCCTGGATATCCGCATACATAATTTCCCGGGTGAAAGGGGAAGTGATCCCGAGCTGGATCGGAGCAGGTTGTAAGGGCGCCCCATCCATCTGATCTCTCATTTCATTCATCTGCCTCCTCATTTCGGCCATTTCTTCCTCCTGGGTCGTCAAAGGGGGCGGTGGTGGAGTCCTCAAATCTGCATACTCCCGATCCCAGTGCCTCTGCGTGGCCCTAGTATAATTCCGTTCGTCGTGCTGGAAATGACGGCCAATAGAAGTAGGTCCCCTGGCTTGTGATCCGATCGGGGTCCGGTCACTGGGAATACGATGCCCTGCTGTTTGAGCGCCACGTCGATTATCCCGATGGGCCCGTGAGTGGGATGACGCCGTGGTTGTTTCTGTGTGGGGAGTCTCCCCTGTGAAATTGGATCCTCCTTCTTCCTCGTTTGCCATGTGTTGCATGACATGGGCCATATCTCGCATGGCCTGAGGATTCCTCCTTAGGGCTTCAGGAATGACAAAGACCCCACCATAATGAGGATATGATCCTCAGCTGGATTGTCCCTGAGGGGTTTGGTTTCTCGGAGTTTGACTCCTTCCGTGACGGCGTGAACCATCATTTGTGTGATAAGAACTGATTCTGACAATTTTTAAAAATAGTTGTTTTGGATATTTGATGTGAAACTTTTTGAACAGTTTCCCACAGACGGCGCCAATGTTGAGGTTAAGTCCCGCAGATCCGAAAGCCCAACATGAACTTTGGATATATCAGGAATGAATCAGAATCAAAGTGTATAACAAAATATAAAAGATGAATCAACGAATGCTCAAAAGCCCACTTGTATTAATTAACCTATTTGATTACAAGGAAATTTCCTGATCGGTACGTCGGAACTGTGCTTTAATACAAGAAACGAGAGTAATAATGCTATTCCAGAGCTTGAGTGTCAAAATGCTCACCCTTATAATGATATTAAACCTTCTATTTATACTAATGGAGAGCATGGGCTGTTCTATGCTGATTGGCCGTTGTTCCACTGACTTGATCACCCATGCTTCCACTTGCCGATGTCACAATCTGGCATTAAATGCACCTGGCCACTTGCTGGTTGTCCGTTGCTCGAACGGGGTGCTAGACCATGCGGAAGACGCTGTCAGATTGGCCCAAGTATGATGTATGATCCGAACTCCGTTCGGTATTTCTGCTTTCTGGGCCGGCCTCTACTTGGACCGAACCTCGTTCGGTATGGATTCTTCACTGGGCCTACTCATCATAGGGTAGTGGACTCGTTGATTGGGCTGGATATCCTGGGCCTTTTTAATCCGGGTATTGGGCCTCCGGGTCAATATCCCAACATTGTGTATTAATATTGATGTATATTTTCCTTGTTTGTTTGTATTTATCGTCAAATAATATAAAAAATCAGATTTTAATTTTCAAACCTTACATACGAGACTATCCTTGTACCCACCTCTCAACCCGGTAGTAGTCTAAGATGGTGATTTATTTTGAAATTGCACCTATGCTTACTTGTGACGAGTAGAAAATGAAAGAAAAAGTCACTGAAATCTTTGGTCTAGAGAAGAGGCGATTAAACACACAAAACATCTTTACACTTTTATACATCTTGAATACAGTTAAATTTTTACGATTTCTGAATCTTTAAAAATTTCTCACCAGCTTCTTATACAATACACTTTAAAATTAAGATGTTTTCATAGGAAACATGCTTCTCTTGATTTCCTCGTAAATATCTTCATTATATCACATTTAAAAGATTCCTATCATTACTCAATTTATTTACAAATGCAAAAGAGTTGTCAGTGCGTTATCATTTCATGTTACTCTCTTAATTGCAGCCAATTTTGAGAAAATAAAAATGTTTTGAATTACTTATGAGATTGAAGGTCAAGGATCAAAGATGGTCTTGTTTTTTTAGTCTCGTTTGTCTTTCAAAAAAGCTTTTTAGTACACACTCTTATTCACACTTTTATACACACCTATGTTTGTGAAAGGTTTTTTTTTGTCTGTGAACATCGACTCACAGACAATGTTTTGCAAAAACAAAATATTGTTTGTGAACCCGATTTACAAACAAAAAAAACTTCACAAGCATGGTGTGTATAAGGTGTGTACTATTTTTCTTCTGAGAGCAAACACATGCGTATATGCAGTAAATAAAATACGTGAAAGTATTTGGTCTCAGACTATTGTCTCAACTCTAAAGCTAACTAACATGAAGGTGGTGAAATGTCCAAATTTGAGTTTCACCCTAAAGTAACTCCAACCTAGTAAAAAATAGTATAGCATTATAGCAAGGAGCCTCAATGGATAGGGAGAACTCTGGGATTAAAGACTATCCCCCTTCATTCACCAATGGAAGAAGCGCGGCGTGAAGTAAAAAGGGCCCGGGGCAGCACCGACCGGTACAAAGGATATATGTATTTGAAAAAAAAAATACACGGATTTTTTTACATTAAAAATATAGACATTTTTTAAAATTTGAAGAGGGTAAAAAAGGGCAGCACTGTGTGAAAAAACAGAATCAGGAAAGTGGGCATGACTCTAAGACCGGTGAAGTAATGGTTAATAACAGTGGAACGGGAGAGCAGAAGAGGTGACGGACATGGGAAGCAGAGGAGCACAAGCTGGAGCAATTAGGAGAGGACGCCATGGTTCTAGAAGGATAAAAAAACAGGGAGGAGGCGGGCTGGAGTTTCCGGACCCGCCAAAACCCGTTAAGCTTTGGCGCACTTGGAGAATTAAAGTTTCTACTACTTTTAGTCTTGGTTTTATTTTTATTGTTTTTTGCGCTGGACATCGTGTGTTTTTGGTTGTCGTTGTTGTTTGTTTTGTTAAGACTCTAGAACATAAGACAGGTGATGGAGAACTTAGTTTACTAGTCATTGGCTCAAGTAAGCCCAATTCAGGATCAACGAATCTGGATGTTTTGTTCGAAGTGACAGATTCTAAGTCTGGTTCAAAAGCGGACAGTAGACAATGGGTTATTTGTCTGATTGTATCCTGTTTGCATTCTTTCTTATTAATATAAGCCACCAGCTTCTAAAGAAAATTTGAAGAGGGCCGGAGCATAAGTTGTCCCTCTTGCTACACCCCTGATTGCTGGTGACGCAGAGAGAGTATGAAATTTTTAAGCGAAGAAGAGAGTATATAAAATTTTTAAAAAAAATGAAATTTTAACTGCTAGATGTTTTGAGACTTCATTTTTTCTTAGATAGGTTTAAGTGCTAATATTGAGACCTCATTGTTATAATATTATTTTTACATCTATCAATTATTTTTGTTCAAAAATAGTTCTGAAATAACAACAACAAAATTAAACTCCAAACTTATGTATTTTTACATCGTAATGTTTAACTTTTTAAATCATATATTTGCAAAAAAATGATAAAAAAACAGGTGTATAATTATAAAGGTAAGGGTTATTTTTACAAAAAAATAAAGGTAAGGTTTACATAAAAAAACTTTGCTGAGTGAATATATTGATAGTGCTAAATTACAGAAAAGACTAAATCGATTGAGTGAATATGTATAAACTAATGAGAAATTTGATTTATTGACAAATGTAGGTTGCACCTACCCTCATAAGCCTCACTACAAGACGTTCTATATGAGTTAATAATTAAGAATATCACCACATGATAGCTAATCTATATTGTACTCTTCGAAGATCTGCACTTCATATACGAGAGGCGTACAACGTACATAATTGATGAGTAAATCGAGCTCAACAAATGATTGTTGTTTGACAAATTTGTTCGCAGCAATTGTGAAAGAATTGTTGTCTCCTCGGTCCAAAAGGTTGAATGCCCAACCCCAAAGCCTCTCCACCCCGACCCGACAAGATAGTGGGAGATTAATCACGGTGACTCAGACAGCAAAGCGCCGGTATGCCTTATACACGTGCGCACCAGAAGTCCAACCTTATTTCAGGTTCTGTAACCTCCACACGACATTATGGAGTAATAAATTTAAAGAGAAGGGGTATATTATGTACTAGCATCCTTTCAAAAAAAAAATATGTAATACGTAGCAGCATTTTGCACCCCTATCATCACCTCCTGGCTCCGCCTCTGGTGAGAAATAAGAAAACTAAAAATCTAAGAGTTATTTTAGACATTTTTAAGAAAAATCCCCTATATTTACGCATTCAAAACCGTAATTTTAGTCAAAATTATTATTGCATACTCTCAAACATGAAATCAATCACTTTGTATTCATAAATTTATAAGTTTCAGAATGATTATTACCTCAAAACTAGAGTGCAAAGTCAAATCCATTAAATAATAATCTATGGTTTACACAATAAATGTTATTTTTCATAATCCAACACATCTATATCATAATTGTATCTATAGATCTATTTAAAAGAGTAACATGTTTTTAGGTAATATTTCATTACCGTGATCATAGGCTAAAAGATGACCGCCCACGCAGTAACTCTCCAAAACTTATGTATACGGCAGGTAACATGTGTGCCTGTCCACGTGGATCAATCCCGGATGACAAAACGAAAAACAAAGACTCCGTCAAACCTAATAGTCTACAACAAACCCTCTCCTGTGTATACGCAACCGACGACCACATCCCGTTTCAACTCCGACAACCTCCGGTCCTAATTTTCTGTTTCTGGGCAAAGAAAGAAGCAGAGAAATCCTACCCAGAAATAGAAAATTTTGGGTTCCAATGCTCCGATCATAAGCATGCAGCATTAAGCAATGAAGCATCTAGTGGTGAGAAGTAAGGAGAAGAAGGCAGCTTAAACTATGTGCAAGTCAAAGAAATTACTAACCGGAGCAATAATCAACCCTTCGCCCAAGCAGAAGTACCCTTCGATGGCTCGATCGCCGGCGTCTCCCGCCGGCAAACCGCCGCCGGCTGACCCTTCGTTATCCACGAGTGGCCAACTCATGAGCTCCTCGGCTTCAACTTCCAGCTTTTATATCGGTAATTACAAGGAATCGCAGTCGTGGAAGTCTTCGAAATCAAGCGGCGCGAGTTCCCTCGCAAGTCTCCGGGAGGCTCTGCCGGAGCAGCCGCGAATCTATGACTTCTCCGAAATCCGATCCGCCACGAAAAATTTCACACAGCCGGCTTTGTCCTCTTCCTCCACCTCCACCGCCTGGCGCTGCGGGTTGCGCGGCCAGGACGTCGTTGTTATCCAGAGGAAGTTCCGACGGTTGATTGAAACGCCGGAGCTGATCGAACGGGTGGCGATGATATGCAGAAGTCACCACTCGAGCTTGATTCCTCTCAAGGGGGTCACAGTTTCCGGGAATTATATTTACCTAGTGTATGAGTATGTCCATGGAGCGAATCTTCGCGAGGCTCTCAGGAACCCTAGGAACCCTAATTTCACGATTCTCTCGAATTGGACGCTGAGAATCCAGATTGCTTCTGATATCGCCTCCGGCCTCGATTACATCCATAATTCTACCGGAATAGGTTTCGAATTCATCCACAATCACATCAAGAGCTCAAGCATTATCATCACAGAGCCCGCGCTGAACGCGAGAATCTGCCATTTTGGAACGGCGGAGCTTTGCGGGGAGATCGCGAAAAGGAAAGCGGAATCCGACGTGGAGATTGAATCAAGCAGTAAAGAGATAAAGTTCGAAGGTACCAGAGGATACATGGCGCCGGAATTTCAGTCGAGCGGGGCCGTGTCGCAGAGATCCGACGTGTACGCGTTCGGCGTGGTGGTGCTGGAGCTGGTGTCGGGGAAGGAGGCGTTGACCTACATTGTGGATGAGGAGACGGGAGGCTACGAGAGGATTTCTGTGATCGAGACGGCGAGAACGGCATTCGGCGGCGGGCGGATCAGAGGGTGGGTTGACCGGCGGTTGAGGGATTCTTACCCGGTGGAAGTGGCGGAGAAATTGGTGCGTTTGGCGCTGGAATGCCTGGATGATAACCCGAATGTGAGGCCGGAAATGGGTCAGGTTGCGGTTCGGGTTTCTCAGATGTATTTGGACTCTTTGACTTGGGCTACCAAGATTGGGGGCCCTGCTGACATCACCGTGTCCCTTGGGCCTCGGTGACAAATCTCCGTATAACATGTAGGCATCATTTTGCTTTTATTAGGTTCTTTTTTTCTTACCTAGCATAAAGCATGTAAATCTCAAATGGCTCCTTAAGAGGCCGTTTGGCCACCCTCATTTTCGGCTTATCAGGCTTATCAGCCAACTTTTTTACCAAACACGTAAATTTTGCTTTCGCGCGCTGAATTGTGTAATAAGCCGAAAAAGTAAAGTTGGGGTTACTTTTCTGGCTGTATTGGCTGAAGTTACCGTAGATGACTATTTTAGCTATTTTTACATATAATTTTTTCTTTATTTTATTAATAAAATATATTTTAAAAATATTTTTTTCTTGTATGAGCAGAATCAGCCAATGCAGCCACTTCAGCCAGAACTTCATAAATTTCAGCAGAATCAGCCAGAACAGCCAATTTTCGTGCTGCCAAACGGACTCTAAACATTCACATTTACTAAACTTTACCAATAAAATCATTAAAAAAAAAGATTATCTTGTATGTAACCTTCATCGGGTACAGTTCGTATACCGCGTAGTTTTGCACTTTTTTTAAATAAAATCACGTGAAAAGTATACACGTATACAGTAACTGTTTTTTCTTTCTTTTTGTTCCAGTAGCATGAATGATGTAACTCGCGTGTAAAGATATGTAACTTACGTTAGTGATCAATGTAACTCACATGTATTCGAAATGTAATTTGTCAAATACATAGTATTAGAAATACAATATTGATTTTAATGTAAACAATGAAAAAAAGAGTCTAATTGCACAATTGCTTTAGGTAAACCGTGAATATGTTTGTTTTTAATATCATGACCATAAAAAATCTTTTTTTAAAAAAATCAGTTTTTTGTTTCAATAGTAGAGGTTGATTTTTTAATGTAATTCATGTAAAACTTAGGTGTATACAGAATGTAACTTGTTGGGAAATTCAAAAAATTTGTTTTCTGTGTTTGAGAATTATATATATATATATATATATATATATATATATATATATATATATATATATATATATATATATATATATCATAAACATTGATTTCAATGTAAACAATAAAAAAAATATCCTAATAGCTTAATTACTTTTTTAAAATAGTGAATAAGTTATTTTTAATATTAGGGCTATAAATATGATATAGCAAAGGTTTATTCCGTGATGTAACTCGCATACATTAAGATGTAACTCGCGTATATTAAAATGTAACTCACGTACATTAAGATGTAACTCGCGCAGAAAAAGATGTAACTTGCATACATTCAAATGTAACTCGCGCATAAAAAGAGATAACTTCACGATATATTATCAAATGCAACTTCAAGAATCAAAATAAACAAACTCAATGTCTTAAAAACCTCTAAAAACATATAAAAGTGATAAAAAATTATTTTATAGAAAAAGAGTGTCCATATAAAAAATATTACTCCCTCCGTCCCTAATAACTTTGCCAAGTTTGACCGGCACGTGGATTAATAATGTAAAAATTGTGTGGTTGAGGTTTGTGCAGAGGAGAGAGAATTAACTGAAACCACAAATTCTTTACTGAAAAAGGAAAGTGGCAAAGTTAATGGGACATCTAAAAAAGGAAAGTTAGCAAAGTTATAAGGGACAGAGGGAATACAAAAAAGTGTGCGAATATAAAAAGTATATTACAAAAAAAGTATATGAATATAAAAAAAAAATTACAGAAACAAAAATAGTACTCCGTATATGAATATGAAATGCAATATACTTATTTTATTTAGATTAATAAACTTTTGTTGTGTATTGAAAAAGAATAAAAAAAATAGATTCAATTATAATTTAGGATGAAGATAAAAAAAAGTAAGTTTGCCATTAAATATTTAATATTTTAATTTGATGAAAAAGGAAAATAATTGAACAAAAGAAAAATAAAGAAAGAAAAGCAAAAAAGGAACGAACATTGCTCCGGGGAGAAAGAAAAGAGAAAGACATTTTCCTAAAGTGGGATCGGCACACCATGCTGAAGGTGGGGCCGATCCCACGATATAATTTGCGCATCGGGTAAGGTTCCGATAAAAACCACGTATATAATAAAATTTAATTATCCTATATACATATATCTGGGATCTTGCATTTTTTGAAATATGATCATTAAAGTTTTCTCTCAATTTAAAATATACGGTGTAAAAACCATATAGTGCAATACATTAGTTAAAAATGCAACCGTTAGCAGATATGACAGGATATACGATTTTTATAATCAACAATTATTATTGTACAGTTGTACACATTTGCCTATCAAGCCTTTTATTTTCACTGTCGCAGACAAAACAAATTGTGTATACAAAAGACTTTTTAATTATTTAATTTGAGAATATATTTGTAAATATATTTTCTAGTTGATGGATTGTCGATCATGGGGTAGCCGGAATCCGGGAAAACAAGGGAGAAGATCGGAAAAGCTCAAGTAATATCGAGTAAGAATTTCTGCCGAGTAACAACAAGAGTGTTCAATTTCAAATCTCTTTCCACATGTTGGAAGGTGATATTTATACAAAAAAGGATAATACTTGATGTCCAAGTAAAAAGATGATAATCTTTTGTGGAGAAGACATGTGTCCTGCTCGTCCAACAAACTAATCAGATTAATCTAATAGAGTATTGACATGTGTAAAGGTGATTAGAGAGATAAGTGAAACATCTGGCTAATTGGAACTGCATGTAACAAACTGGTACCAGAATACATGTGCGGGTTACACGTGTATTATCCGGAATATTCTTTACTTTATCCGCTGAGAGTGATGTGGCACCTCTCAAAGTACTGGTGATGTGGCGACAGCTTATGCGACACTTGATTCCGCGAAATGCTTAAGTTCATAGAGTGTTGACGAGACCCCAAGCTCCCAGAGGTCAGAGCTCGGATGCTTGTGCTCATTACTAGAGGATCTGTCTCTGGTCTTCGGTCTTGTCTTGTAACGTTGACTCTCTTGTTGATTTCGGTTGACCTTGTATCAGTGTCAGAGGTCAGAGTTGGTATCGAGCTCGGTGTGCCTGAGGTCGACCTCATATTTTACCTTGTCTGAGTGATTCCTGAGCTCGGTGTTTTCGCCGAACTCGGAGGGTCGAGGTCGGTCTCGATTTAGTCTTTTGTCCTTTGTCGATTTGTCGTCTTGTGCTTGGTCCCGACCTCAGAAGGTCAAGGTCGGCCTATGTTGGAAGCCTGATACTTTAAGTATTTTGAGATGTCTTTGTGGCCTTTGATCGGCGATTATAATACCCTTGAGGTATATGGGAATGCACTCCATCACTAGAATGGGTTTCCTTATATTATAAAGACAATTGTGATAAAGTATTTGTTGTATTTACATGGTGTTAATTTAATAGGAGTCTTTGATATTAAGGAGAACCAATACTGAATTCTTTTTCATACTCTCTAAGAGAGGAACCCTAACAGCCGTCTCACCTTTTTGTAGGGGTTGAAATTTTTCACTGTACCTATCAATATGGGATTGGAGCAGACAAATTATATTGATTTTAAGTGCCCTAATGTTGTATCGATGACATTAGTGTTGGCAGATGAACGAGTTGTGGGTGGGATGTTGTATCGATGCTGGATCGTGAAGCCTTAATCGGCCGCTCCGATGGTGGCGGAGTTGGTGTTCACCCTTATTGCAAGAGATCGCCCTCCTCCGGAAGCACCTCCATACCAGAAAGAGTTTTGTGGAAAGTTTTTTTAATATTATTTTCTCTTTAGTAATACTTGTTTCTATTTTAATCGGAGTAGATTTAGTTTGAATGTTTGGATTTTTGGAATTCTTTTGATATGCAGAGTTTCAGATTCGTTCGTTTTAGGTTTAAATTTTTACTCGTTTCAGGTTTTGCGAGTCAGATTGCTTTGTATGAATTCATGATTGGATCTGTCAAATCTGTCTGCAGGTTATCTTGTATGCGTTCTCATTTTTAAGATAAAGCCGCTCTTTTATGATCAAAAAAATTAATTGGAGTCTTTTTTACCAGAATTTAGATCTATAGATCTCCCTGTATGTATAAGTAGACATATTAAACATTTTTATTTGATAAGTGTTGAAGGAAATTCTGTGTAGTGTGCTATCGTGTATATAGATTATGTATTAGGATCATTCTATGTAAACTATCTATTGTATGGCTCATTGGCCCATCTATGTAAACCCTAATATCTCCCTATTTATAGGGCCTTTGATAATGAAACTATACACCCAATTCTCCCTACAACACGTTATCAGCACGTAGCCCTAAATCTATTTTTTCTCCCGTTCTCCCTACACTCAATCCGCAGCCGCGCCTCCAGCAGTCCAGCCGCGCCGCCAGCAATCCAGTCACGCTTGGCTGCCTCCCAACACACCGACCGTCGCCCGGCCTCCCCCCTTCCTAGCCTGCGACTCCCCAATTCCCGGATCTCTGTTGAGGTATTTTTTTTACTCAAAAATCATTGCAGGATCTTATGTATATGATTTATTGCATCATGTTTACCATTGTGATGAACATCATTGATTTTTTTTAGAGATTAAGTTGTCAATTTTTTGAGATCCATTTCTTGCACCCCAAGTGTTTGATGATATGCCTCATCCATTTTTTTTGAGAGATAGATGCAATTTTTTATTATAATTCCGTAATGCTATATGTTATAATCATATAGTTGGAATTAATATCACATTATGCATCCCTCTTCGTTTTTATACATCTATGTGATCATACTTTTTCGTAAAACTATATGCCATATACATATAGTTGGAATCAAAGATCACACGATTAATCTTATTTTCATGTATTTTATATGATCATATGATTATACTTTCCGTAAAGCTATATGTTAGATACATATAGTTGGAATTAAAATCATATTATGCACTATTTTAATTATTTTAAACATATTATGTGATTATATTTTTCCGTAATGCTATATGTCACTTACATATAGTTGGAACCATAATCACGTAAGATTACTATATTTTATGCCTAATCCGTTCATTAGACCAATATTAATACTTCATATATTAAAAACACCATATAACATCTTATAAAAATCTCTATGATTTTTTTAAGGAGGTGAATATATATCTCCTCACTTCGATGCATTGTAAAATATTGTCTACAAAGAGACATACTCTCATGATTATTTTTTTGTGATAAAGAATTTTCACACAAAGAATCGATTTTGTTTATACACAAGTTTCTGTTT